GGCCGATAACAACGGATAAAATGTCGGGTGAAATTAACCACTTGCATATAAAGTCGGGATCCACAATTCTAACCCAAAAGCTTAAGCTGATAGGTAGGGCTTCACCCTTCTATATATGCAAGTGATACTCATCTTTATTTTCCGATTTGGGAACTCCAACACTCCCCCGCAAGTGGTAACTAGTCTGGTCTAGTTAGCACTTGGACAAACGGGTCTAGCATCTCAATCTCTTATAGCTAGCCCACACAACGGGCAGTGGCATCTCAATCTCTTTTTAGCCAACTCAGCCCAAACCACAGACGGGGTAGCTCATTTTTGCTAAACCCACATCTAAACAACCAGGAACAATCAAACCCGGACCGGACCTGCTCCGATACCATGTTAAAAATTTCGGCGGGCCGATAACAAAGGATAGAGTGTCGGGTGAAATTAATCACTTGCATATAAAGTCGGGATCTACAATTCTAACCCAAAAGCTTAAGCTGATAAGTAGGGCTTCACCCTTCTATATATGCAAGTGATACTCATCTTTATTTTCCGATTTGGGAACTCCAACACTCTATACACTTTCATCTTCTTCTATAATCTTCCATAAGGTTTTAGAAGGCTTCACACGTCTCTATAATATTCCAGAGGCTTCCAAACTCTTCTATAAGCTTCTAGAGAGTTCTACATTTCTTTAGAGTTCTCTAGATCATTCTATAAAATTCTTGACTTCTCTATAGAGCTCTAGAATTTTTTAGAATTTCTCCCATTAAGGAACCCAACATTCTTGTATTCGTGTAGGAAAAGAATAATGTCCACCATATTCAAATGTCCTTACATTGATGGCCGACGGCCGCACAGGGTAAAGGGCTGCAAGATAATCGCTACAACATGGACAACGCGGTTGTGTTATGTAGGGGTGAGCATCGGGTCGGTTCGGTCGGTTTCGGCCCAAAACCGAACTAACCGAAAAAATTTATTATTCAAAATAACCGACCGAACCGAACCGACCTTGGATTAAACCCGAACAAACCAAAACCGACAATAACCAAACCGAAACCGAAAATAACCGAACCGACCTTGAATTTTAATCTAATTATGAAATAATAAAAAATAAAAGTAAACTATAATAACAAAAAATGCAAAATGCATATTTAAGACATCTATTTTTAAATATGTACAGATTTAAGTTATAAAAAATTAATATTTACTAAAGGTAGATTTTATTAGTAAAAAAATTATTTAACAATTTAATTTGTAAAATAATTAATAAAAACAGAATTAAGAATTAATTAAAAAAGAGAGGAACAAAGGGATGAATATGGAAAAATAGGTATTTTGGGTATAGAAGGAGTAATGATTAAAATGACATATTTGAGCTTAATTCACTTATTTGGACTTAAAAATTGGTTATATTAATTTAATAAACATTAGGGGTGAATATGGATTTCGGTTATTCGGTTAACCGAACTAACCGAATTAAAGAACCGGAAACCGACTGGACAAACCGAAAAACCGATAATTTGAGAATAGGTAACCGAAACCGAAACCAAAAACTCGGTTATTTCGGTTTTCGGTTTCACGGTCGGTCCGGTTATTTTGCTCATCCCTAGTGTTATGGGTTAGTGTTTGAAAATATTGAGGGCAACTTTTACTATTACTAAAATAAATTAATAAAAAATATATGATTTTCAAAATAAATGTATTGATTATAAATTTATATTCAGGGAATTTACCTAAATAGTATTAAAACATAGTTACTTTCCCAATGTAGTACCATGTGTTTTTATTTCCCAATGTCGTACCATTGTTCAATGTCTATTGGCTCAAGTAAATGTTCGTTGCCACTGGACATTATCACTGGACATTGTTCCGCCATTAGACATTATTCAAGTACTATTTAGGGAATAAAAAAGTAAATATTACATTGGGCAAGGACATACTCCCTCCGTCCGGTTTTTATGTTCCCAGTTTGACTTTTAGTCATTTTTAGTGAGTGTTGACTAAGGCTATAAAATGACTAGAATGCCCTTACTAAAAAAAGAAGGAAAGAAAGCCACATGCAGTGTAAAGAAGTGAACAAATGAGGAGTACTTTTACTGGTTCCAATCCAAAACAGTAGGGAAGTATGGGCTGATTACATCATATCATCATTACATTACCAAATCATCCAAAAAAACACTCCAATTCCCTCCTATTTTTAGAAAACTACCCGCCCAAACATTCCCAAAATTTTTAAAACAACCTTTCCCCTTGCAGTCCTATAAAAGGTCCCTCTCATTTCCTCATTTAGCAGGTTTTTTTCTTGAATATGTCTTCTTCATTTTCTTGCTGCAGTCCTTCCAATGTATTCGGGTTGCGCTTCATTTCCTTCGGGCTACTGTCGTTGCACGTTTCTTTGGGGCACTGTTCTTGAACTCTCTTTGGGCTGCTCTTCACTGTCTTCGGGATGCTGTCCTTGCACGTTTCCTCGGGCTGCTGTCCTTGAACTATCTTCGGGCTGCGCTCCATTTTCTTTGGGTTGCTATCCTTGCACGTTTGTCCGTGTTGCCGTCCTTGAACTCTCTTCGGCCTGCTGTCCTTGCACGTTTCTTCGGGCTGCGGTTCTTGAACTCTCTTCGGGTTGCTCTTCATTTTCTTCGGGCTGCTGTCCTTGCATCTGTGCTCTTCATTTTCTTCTGTTTTGTTGGAAATTGCACTTCTTGGAGGCCTGCAAACACACATGAATACGAAGAGGTTGGAGAACACAACGAGGCAGGTAATCAGTGACACATAACTAGCACATTCAAAGCAAAATCCTAATGGTTCATACTCAGCTCAGTATGGGCATATCAACAAACTTGCTGCACAGTTTAATGTATCTAGAAAAACAGTGAGCAAGATATGGGCAATTGCAAAGAAACAAATAGAGCAGGGGGTTGCCATCGATGTGAGGAGTCGAATGATAGGAAAGAAGGGCAAGAAAAGGACAGTGATGGATGCACAGGCTATTGCAGACACTCCACTCAGGAAGAGGACTTATGTCAGATCTTTAGCTGCTGCAATTGGCAAGCCTAAGTCAACCGTGCATGAATGGATAAAAAAAGGTATGTTGAGGAGCCATTCTAATGCAATCAAACCATTCTTAACTGATGCTAATAAAATATCAAGGTTGAGGTTCTGTTTAGATCAAGTAGACCCTTACAGCATGCCCATCCACCCTCAGTTTAAAACTTTTCACAATGTTTTACACATTGATGAAAAATGGTTTTACATGTCTAAAACTTCCCAAAAAATTTACCTGCTTCCAGATGAAATTGACCCACACAGAACATGTAAGTCCAAAAAGTTCATAACTAAAGTCATGTTTTTGTGTGTGGTTGGGAGACCACTATTTGCTGAGAGTGGAGAAGTATTGTGGGATGGAAAAATTGGCATTTTCCATTTCACAGAAACAGTTCAAGCTCAGAGAAAGAGTAAAAACAGAGCAAAAGGGGTGATGGAGGTGAAGCCAATCACTAGTGTTACCAAGCAAGTGACAAAGGATATGCTGATCAAACAAGTCATTCCATGTATCCAAGAAAAATGGTCAACACAATTATCTAGAGACATACACATTCAGCAAGATAATGCAAGGCCACACATTCAAGGACTGGACTCTGACTTTATGGCAGCATGTAACACAAATGGATTTCACATCACTCTAAATAATCAACCCCCCAACTCCCCAGATTTAAATATGTCCTGGACCTTGGGTTTTTTAGAGCAATCCAGTCTTTAAAAGAACAGTGTGCTCCAACTAGTGTTCCAGAGTTATTAGAGGCAGTTCAAAGAGCATATAATGCCCTCAATCCAGAAACCTTGAATAAGGTTTGGTTGACATACCAACAGGTGTTGACTAAGGTAATGGAACATGAAGGAAATAACAACTACAGATTACCACATATGGGGAAAGATAGACTTGCCAGAGAAGTAAATCTTCCTAAGTCTTTGAGCATAGACCTGGATCTTATTCAGAAGACAGCAAGATTGGTTGGACAACAGAATGGAGGTAGAAATGAAGGAATGGTTGCGTTCAACACTGAAGAGGGAGATGACTACCAATCTTCAGAGTTGAACTAAACACACTTTTTTTTGGGTTTCAGTGTATGTAATTGGTTGCCACTGTGGGTTTTTGGAGAGTGGTTACCACATTATGTTTTGTGGCTTTATGTGTTTGTAAATGGTAGCCACAGAAAACTTTTTGGGTTTTGGGTTTTGGGTTTTGGGTTTTTGGGTTTTGGGTTTTGGGTCTCACATCAAGGTAACTACACACAATCTACTCTATATGTAACATATGTATAATGAAATACAACTGCCATCATATGCTTATCACTTTTTTTACAACTGCCACTTCATCATTGCTGGTCTAGTTTTATTATTCTTATACATTTATCACAGTAAATGGTCACATAGGGTCTTAAAAACAACATAGGGACAGATAGGACACTCAGAGGCAGAGTAAGACCACATAGAAGGTGTAAAACCCTCACTACTCAGAGACATCCTTAAATGGATATATACATTCTCATCACAGTAGGCATCATTGTTCTCAGACATTCATCACAGAAAGTGGTCACAAGAGGGAGAGATAACATAGTGTACAGATAGGGCACCCAGAGGCAGAGTAAGACCACATAGAAGGTGTAAAACCCTCACTACTCAGAGACATCCTTAATTGGATACAATCTCATCACAGTAGGCAGCATTGTTCTCAGACATTCATCACAGAAAGTGGTCACAAACAGTCTCGCAAACATTAGAGGGACAAATAACATAGTGTACACTTTGGACAATCAAAGGCAGAGCAAGACCACATATGAGGACTAATACCCTCACTACTCAGAGACATCCTTAAATGGATATATACATTCTCATCACAGTAGGCATCATTGTTCTCAGACATTCATCACAGAAAGTTGTCACAAAAGGGACAGATAACATAGTGTACAGATAGGGCACCCAGAGGCAGAGCAAAACCACATATGAGGACTAATACCCTCACTACCCAGCGACATCCTTAAATGGATACATGCTCAACACAGTAGGCATCATTGTTCTCAGACATTCATCACATAGTGTTAATTAAGGACCCTTGTAATGGAAAGCCACATGTAGAATAAAGAAATGAACAATATGGAGTCCTGTTACTATTTCCAAAACAAGGGAAGAGCAGGGACAGTAATTGAATCATCCAAACTTACATAGTCTATAATTATTTCAGTAATGTTGAAATAATTGAAGTATAGGAAGGTTAAACGAACTTCCCTACTTGTACTTTGAAGCCCAAAAGTCTGGATCTGCGCTTGGAAGTAAGATGTTTAGCATATCAATGTGGAGGTGCACGCGTGAGTACATGGGTTGAGAAGAATCAAACCCAGGTCTCTCAAACTCCTCCATCTCGTCACCCTCTTGCCTCCCATCAACAAAATTACAATCTTCTTGAGATTGAATGTTGATAAAACACTGCATTTCTCTGATCGGGGCAGGATCGGCACCATCATCGTCACTATTGATGATGATGACCTCGTCATCGCTATGGATTGCGATAACCTCCTCCATCTCGCTGTCATCAGAGATTAAATCTTCGACCTCACCCCAACCATCTTGAAATTCCGTCTCCGGAATGATAGAATCCAAGAAATAGTCATGCGGATCCATTAGATGTGGGCAGAGATCTAGGGTTGTAGGAGAAGAGGGAGAAAGAATTGGGCGGAATGGATCTGGGAAGGAGAGGAGGTGCGAGTTAAAGCAAGAGGTATGATGAATGCGGGTAGGAGGATTGGGCGAGAAGGGCGATTTAATGAGAGGGGTAGTTTAGGAAAAGTGAGTTAGAAAACGTATACTGGGAACTTTATTTTCGGACGGAGAAAAGAGTAGACTGGGAACATAAAAACCAGACGGAGGGAGTATGTTTTAGTACTATTTTAGTCCAAATTTCACGTTATATTCTAATTAAGTATTAAATTTGAAATATATTAACATGTGTACGTATTTTGCGCTCGAGTCAAGGAGCTTATAGAAACCGACTTTACCTTTTTAAGGTAAGGTCTGCCTCTGGACCCACTTGTGGGATTGTACTAGGTATGTTTTTATTATTATAATAACTAAATGAACTTTGCTTACAAAATTCAGTCTAAACAAATAATACAACATACGAAGTAACCACTAGCAAATAACATTTCTCTTTTTCTGCTCAAGAACTACATACAGCTCTTTTCCTCTCTTATTTTTCACTAAGAAGCTGTGCTTTTCTCTCTTTGTTCTTGGGCATCTTTTTCTCTTATACAACACTAACACATGCATAAGACTCCTATTTACAAACTCCCTAACCAGTAATGTTGTTGTGGTTTTGATAGTAACTCGTGACTTCAACCTTTAATATATTGCTTACTTTGATTGCTAAGAGAAAATATTTGAAGTTGTGCCCTGAGATGAGAAGCCTATGGATGGAAAAACTTTCAAACCGCATGGCTTTAAGCAGATTGGAGCATTTAACTCTTGACAGTTGTGACTTCTTATCTGAATGTGCGGTACCCACACATTTGGTAAGATCCTTGAGCATTAATTTGCAACATCTGGAGGTGCGTAATTGTCAATATATAAAAGCAATATTTGGTCCGGTTATGGATGATGAGGGGGAGGCACACCTTGATTATGGAAAGATATGTTTCCGGTCTCTCCGAGAACTAAGTGTCAGTGACTGTAAAAGTTTAGAATACATTTTTATGGCATCATCAGTAGCTAAAGGACTTGAGGATAAGAGTTTAGAGGAGTCTCCGAAATTCGAATTTCGTCGTTTACAGCATTTGGATTTGGTGAAGTTACATGATCTCAAGGGTTTTTGTCCGCAAAGATGTACATTTGAATGGCCACGACTCACATCGCTATGGGTGTCTCACTGTGAGAATTTGAAAGTATTTGGCACCGAAATGACAAGTATTACAGAATTGGGTGAAAAAGATGAATTTGAAGATCTTCATACACTGCCCTTCTTGGCTGAAAAGGTTAGTTTGTTAATTCATTACTCTCTTTATGTACTCCCTAATAATTTACAAAATACCTATACTATTATAAGATTTGAATTTATAAAAAGAGTTTAAGATTTTAAATTAGAATATAGCAAATAGATGGAGAAAATTGCTACGGGGTACCCTAGATTTTGTGACAAGAACTGCCAGGTCCCATTATTTTTGAAAATGTATTCCAGGGTACCTTGAAATATCAAAAAAGTTACTCCGGGGTGACATTCCGTCTATTCCGTCAATTTCTTGTTTCCGTTAACTTCCCTTCCCCTCCTGCTTCCCCATTTTCGACCTTCTTCTTCTTCTCTCCTCTCCTCCTCCTCCTCCACCTTTGAATCGTATCCCGCCCCCATCCTCCCATTTTTTCTTCTTCTCTTTTTCCTTTTAAACTCTTTTTTCTTCTTACCTATTATTATTATTATTATTATTAAAAATTTAAGTAATAGTTTTACCATTTTTATTCTTTTTCACTTCATATTTATTATTATTTTTTTCTTATTCTATTATTATTATTATTATTATTATTAATTACTCCGTATTATTTTTATTAATAATTATTACTATTATTATTAAAAATCAATTATTAGTTTTATTACTCTTTTTTTAAGAAAAGTAACAGTAATAATTATCTTTACTTCTTATTATTTTATTTTCTTCTATTGTTTTACTTTGTATGCCCCCATTGACCTTTTCCAATTTCCAATTTTCACTTGCATAAAAGAAGGTTAAAATATTTTTAAGCTTCAATTAAAAATTAATTTTAGTATGATATATTTATGTATAGTTTGTAAAATTAAGATTATTTATTCACTTTGTTATAAATTATACGTTGTATTTCATAATGGCGGCTATCGATGACTACTGCGTAAGTAATACGAAAAACATCAAATAACAAAAAATTAGAATAGTGAAAGTACTAAGAATTTTTTAATAATGATAATATTAATTTTTATTTTAAATAATAAGTGCTGTTTTTATAAATAATAATGAATTATTTTTCTTAAAAAAAGAGTAATAAAACTACTCATTAATTTTTAATAAAAATAATTATATATTAAAACAATAGCAGAAAAGTAAAATACTAAGAAGTAAATAATAATTAATACAAAGTAATAATAATAAGTACTATTATTTTTATTAAAAAGTACAGTAGTAAAATTATTAAATAATTTCTTTTAATAAATAATACTATTAATAATAATAAGTGTTTTTTATATAAGTGCTATTTTTATAAATAAAAATTACTGTTATTTTTCTTAAAAAAGAGTAGTAAAACTAATAATTAGTTTTAATAATATTATTAATAATTAAAAATAAAAATAATTCGGAGTAATTAATAATAATAATAATAGAATAAGAAGAAAATAATAATAAATATGAAGTTATTATAATCAGTGCTACTCCAATAGTGTTCTTAAAAATTAGAGTGGTAAAAATAATAATTAATTTTGATAATAATAATAATAATAATTAATAACAAATAATAATAATAATAATAGAATAAGAAGAAAAAAGAATTCAAAAGAAAAAAAATAGAAGAAGAAAAAAGGGGAGGGTGGAGGGTTGGATGAGATCCGAAGGCGGAGGGGGGGGGAGGAGGAGAAGGAGGAGGAGGAGAAGAAGAAGGAGAAGAAGAGGATCGAAAATGGAGAAGAAGGAGAAAAGTTGAGGGAGACCGAAGATTAATAGAGAAAGAGACGGAATGTCACTCCGGAGTGGCTTTTTTGATATTTTAAGATACCTCGGACTATATTTTTAAAAATAATGGGACGTACTAGTTCTTATCATTTTAGAATTATAAAATGAGGTTAAGATTTTAAATTAGAATATAGCAAATAGATGTATAAAAAATTCATGTTTTTCAGCTAGACCACATTAATTTACTATATTAGGTATTTGTAAAGGTTTTGTTTAGATGTGTTATTTTCATTGAAGAGGACAGTGATGAAGAGGTACCTACCTAATTTTAGCTATTAGATTTAATTTAAATGTTATTTACATAGATGGGACTAACTAAGAAAACGGTAAGAGGGTAAATGAAACTAATTGATACTTCTTATCTAATAGAATTTAAGATGGGATAAGGATAACTGGATTGGGCAATAAGACACTTGAATTGAACCACACGTTAAAAGATTGAATCCAATCTATTACTTAATTCAACTCAAGAGCTTATATACCGGTTTATTTTCTTGGTGAGTTCCGATGTGGGATACTCTTTGACATTTTTCGATTAATTATTCTCTACAGGTCATTCCTAATTTAAAAAGACTATCATTAAGCCAAAAAGATGTGGCTCTCATAAAAAACCACCCATTCGAGACAAATCTCTTTGATGAAGTGTTTACTCTTTTACTAGGAGGCTTTATTGGAGAATCCTTTCCATGTGATTTTCTTGATAGATTTCCAAAGCTTTTGTGGCTCCAAGTGGAAGATAGTGACTTTGAGGAGATATTCTCATCCCAGCCACAACAACGTGCATTTTGTAATGATGATGATTCTTCTCAGTCACAGCCACTTTATCTAATAAGTCACAGCCACTTGGTAAAGCTGACACCGTCTTCTGCTTCACTTGGAAATTTAATGCATCTGGAGGTGTCCGGCTGTCATCAGCTGACCTATTTGTTCACTGATTCAACTGCCAAAAGCTTGGTAAATCTAATTTACTTGGTGGTAAACGACTGCAAAAAGATGAAGGAAATCGTGAGAAATGAGAGTGAAGATGCAGTAGGAGGAGCAGGAATCACATTCAGTCGATTGTGCAATCTGGAACTTGATGCTCTACCGAGCTTAGAGGGATTTTGTTTGAAAAATCAGACCTTTCAATTCCCAGACTTAAGGGAAGTAACTATAAAGGGATGCCATCAAATGAAGACGTTTTCTCTTGGGGTCTCGCGAACACCAGATTTAGAGAATGTGATCATAGATGATATCATCATGGCCTTGAAGGGAGATCTTAACAATACAATAGAATCGCATGTTCGTCTCAGACAAGGTACCAAAAACACACCATAAGGCATAACTTGAAGTATGGCCAATTAATGAAACCTAAAAATGTCGATTATTACATATATATTCCAATCTTCTAACACTGCCATTTTGAATATGGAAAACCTCTACTTTGATGATGATGATGCAGGATGACTAAAATAAAATACAAGAATTGGCGGAGTTCGTCATTCATAGTATCTTCTTCTCAGGTTAATTTGTTCAATCCTTAGAACTCTCTTGGGCGTGTGCAACACTTTTTCTTTATGCTCTCTTTTGTTTGCTCTTCTGACGTTTCGAAGGGCATTTGCGGCTCAAGTTTCTAAAAAACGCATGACAATAATATATATGTGTGTGTGTGTGTGTGTGTATACATACATATATATATATATATATATATATATATATATATATATATATATATATATATATATATATATATATATATATATATATATATATATTATAGCTCTAATTTGTAGCAGTTGGATTTTACTCTACTACTTGCTTCCTTTCTCCCAATTCAATCTCTTCCACTTTTTCCTTAAAAAGTAATTAATAAGAGCAACAACATATATACATTACCTCAATCAAAGAACTAAAATTTCAAATTTCTCAACCCCTATTCTAATGGCAACATCAACATCTACAAAAACCTCAAACACACCGTCCTTACGTGATCACTAACACCTTGCAACTAAGTGAACTTCCAATGCCAATAAATAATTTTTTACGGATCGGATGGTGTAAAAGAATTACTACATATATACAAGTGCATAAGTTATTTTATTTATTATTGCCATACAACGATATTATTACTTTTATGACGACTTATATCTCATAAAAATTTACATTAAAGCAGATTTAAATTAGGGTTCATGCATGGAAAGAATAAAAAAAACTTAATAGGTAAAATCAATTTTTGGGTGCTGGATATGTTGCTTCAGGTTCATCACTACTATACCTTGATGGTTGTGTTTCTTGCTGGATATGTTTCTCTTTGTTCAGGTGGTGCTGCTGCTACATACGTGGGATGACCACCGTGGTATGCTAGCTAAAGTTTTGGGCGGGACTATGTTTGGCATACTCATAGTTATTATAATTAGTTCATTATTTAATATTTTTGTGTATGAGTGGGATTATGACACTCCTTCAAGGGTTTTCTTTTCGGTTCTTTCCCTTGATGTTGTTGTGAACCGACAGGACTAGAATTTCTATCTTTTCTATAATTTGGGATGTTCTTACTTTATTTGAAAAGATATCAAATTGTTATTTCCAAGCCCTTTTTCCATCTCCTTTTCATCTCTTTCTCCTCTCAAATTCTTCTCGTTCATTTTCCGCAATTTGGAGTTATTCTTGGAGCTTAGAGACGTTTGGGGCTTGTTTGGGAATAGCGCTAGAGTTTAGCGTTAGCGTTTTGAAAATGCTATCGACGGACAGCGTTTAACGTTAGCGTTTCCAAAACAATCTATACCGTTAAAACTTTATCTAAAATGTTAACGCTAATCTCTAACGTTATTCGAAACAGTTGCCATACCTTACATTTTGTTGACTTAGAGATCAAAATCTTGATTGCAAGGTCAACAAAATTTGGGGATTCACTTCACAATGATTCGAAGGTGCATTAGTTAGGTTCAGGCTAGACTTGGAGGGCATATCGAGGGAGTTGAAGATAAAAATCATCTAATTTTCAATCTAAACATCATAGATGCCCAATGTAATAACATGACATCAATTTTTTTGGGTATAAAATATTCTACCACTTTAATCATTATTTAAACAAAACCCACTCCATATATTAAATAATGATATAAAAATAATTTTATTAAATCTAGCTTATAAAATATTTTTAAAATATTAATTTATCTAATTAATATACTATATACGGAGTAATTTTTACTCCCTACATTCCATTTTAAATCGTTTGTTTTGACTTTGAGAAATATTTAAGGAAGAAAAAAATAGATTAGACTTTCAGAAAGATTACTCCATATACCACAATAATGCGTAGTTTAAAAAAAACATAACAAAAAAGGTTATTTGTTAACTTTGTACCCCACATTTGCTGAGGAAATCAATCCTCACAACTGACATAAGAGGTAAGGTCACCATGGAAATGAGAACTACTAGTTTGGCTGGCTAACCAACCAGCTAAACCTTTTTTTGGCCGGTGAAATGTATAGATTCACAAGGGAAGAGCCTCTATGCTACAAAATTGGTCCTCCCTATCATCATAGAATAATCCCTCACTGCAAAACAAGGAGAATTTAGCCGTCATTATCAGTATAAATTGCGTCTAAATTGAATCCTAAATTGTGTCTAAATTTAGCAAACATGCAAAAATGTCCATCTTATTATAAACATACATATACACGAACTAATTTACGACCAAAAAAATAATGTTTAGTCCAAAAGAAAGTTAAGGATAAATTTGAGTATTAGTTTCAATGATTGGACTAAATCAGGTATTAAGTCCTACAATGGTACACGCATATCCAGAAACAGCACAAGTAACTGGTACAATGGCATTGCTACGAATATGAAGAATAATAGAAGTGTGTTAGCAAAATTACCAGGCAAGTTAGATCTCCCGTGTTAATCTCAACTCTACAATTTGATAACTTCCATATCAAGAAACACCCTAAGGAGAACCAAGAGGAAAGGATTATATTGGGTGGATTTTTTCAAACATATGGCAACCTTCAATTGCAAAAACAGAACAAGTCATTGCTATTAGCTTAACCAATTTTAAGCATAATCAGCTCTGTCTTTAATGCATACCTTAGTTTAGGGAAGAAGTATTCTCCTTGGGGAATTGAGCATTAGTCATGGACACATCATTCGCACCACTAGATTCCAAATTAGATTTCAATGGCACCGATTGTGTTGAGGTTCCAGGGAGCTGCCAAGGTATTGTTTTAAACAATGCATTCAGACAAATCCTTCATCCCTATGGATTGAATTCTCAAAGAAACAAGCAACTCTTTTACATCTGTGAAATGGTGACATGCTGAATGATGGTTTATGATGCCCATGTTTGGATTGGTTTGTGATTGCTAAGAATTCTTGGAAAGTGGTGTCACCGACATGATGCCTATGTTTAGAGTCGAGAAAACCCATGAATCAGGAAACTGGGGTTTGAGTGATATCCGAGAATTCAGTCAATTCCTGCATTCCGAACACGATATCTAATTCCTATTATTATAACAGACATTACCTCAGTGCTTCAAAGGCTATTGCCACTGCGGGGTAAGGGGGCGGATCTACGTAGCCTGACCCATATGTTTAAAATATAGTGGTTGTTTCCAGATGACCTATGATGAGCATCTAAAGTTGCATTGACTAACTGCTACTTCAGCATTAACTTCATTCTTGAAGAAGAGCAAACAATTGGAAAGCCATTTTGCTTTATTCAATCATACCCCAAAGAAAAAAATAGTGAACCTTAATTTGTATGGTCAACTAAAATGAACGAACTTGTGTGAATTATTTTATATGGAGAAACTAGTAAACTACATAAAAATCAATGAATTCTATATTTGTTTGTTGTTGAAATAGGAGTTTTTTAATTTATTTTTTCTAGGGGGGGGGGGGGNGAGACTACCAATTCCACATATAACGACATACTCAGAATTGCTTTAAGATATCTTTCACAAACAAAAATGGTGAAATGGACTTAACCTCCTGAGAGGGTGAAGCATAGGAAGCGGGTGGGTTTCTAATTCCAACGGTAGCATCTTCTGTTTGGGAGGCTGACATTTTCAAATTCCCACCAAGAGCATCCACCTGCCCGATATCTTTAACATTCTGCTCTGTACAAGCAAGTGTTGTTGTTGCATCGGATGTACAATCGGGATCCTTGGACAGCTTGTTACCACCATCAATCTCCATAGCTTCAACTTTCCTATGTTATAAAAGAATCATTCAGAGGAAAGCCATAATTTGCTACACATCACCACTACTGTTGGTTGCTTGCTGAATTACAAAAAATAAACATAAATTTAACAACTAATAATCCTCACCCATCAGAATCAACAGAAGGTAACTTCACAGATTTTGGATTTCTGGAAAATAATACTCCACAGAGATGTTTTCCATCTATTACAGTTTCAATGGTATAGCCATCTGGAAAAGTTTTGGTCACCTTGGCATGAAAGGTTTTCTTCCCCAGAGGATTTCGGTTTTCATGCATAAAAACATTACGTCCCCTGCCTGGAAATAGACCGTAAAATAAAACCAACCAATGAATTTGATTCAATCACAGGTTTGTATGATCATATTCACACTGCTAACATGTACCTTCACATATGTCAAACTTACCTTCTGCGAGACAAGCTTGCTGCTCTTGGCACTTTAACTTAAGCTGCTTTCTCAAAGATAACTTCTCTGTCCTCCTATCATTTTGTTCATTTTCCCCAACAAGCCCTGATGTTATGAGTTTAAAAGAGTTTACATTCCCCTTAAGACAAATGTGAGTTACAACACTAAACTAGATGAGATCGTTTGGTTGTTTCTGTGGAAAAATTTTCCCAGGAAAACAAATTTTCTTTTCCTGGAATCTATGGGCGTGTTTGGAACTTTGGATAATGGAAGATGCCAAAGGAAGGGGGAAATGCCGAGCAAAGTTACTCCTATTTCTTTTGCATTTGGTTTTATGTTGGATGACGAAAATTGATTAACCTTTAAAAAAATTACGTATGTTTGAATTTTCTTAGTCTTCAAATGGAGTATAATAGAAACAGGTATAACGAGTTCGAATAAATATTTCAAATAAATATATTGAGTTTAAGTATGAAAACTTTGCATGATTTTATTAGCAAACTCAGAGTGGCTGGCTTCAGGAAGCAGAGGAGAATTTGGTTTGCTGTGTGGGCTGCTGCTGCCTATGCTCTATGGAAAGTTAGAAACAATATCATACACCAGAATGAAGTTATCAAGGCTGAGGAATGCATTGCTTATGAATGGTTTAATATTAAACATTTTATTAATTTCAAACTCAAAGCTAATTGCATTGTTTAGAGGCTGTTTAGTCTTAAATACTTGCTAGCTGCTGTACTCTGTTTGAAGGTTGCTTGTTTTGGAGTGATGAATATATATGTGCTGAGGTTCCAAGAAAAAAGTTTGAGTCTGTATTCTTTATTTTCCTACACATTTTCTTTCCTCTCAACTTTCCTTCCTGCTTTCCTTGCTATTTTCTTTCTCTAATATTTTCCATTTCCAAACGGAACTAATTCTCTCCTCTCACGCCCTAAAATTGATTTCCCTGATTTTCAGGTAAAATAAACCCACTTTCTAGTCAAAGGGAAATAGTGTTTGCTTGTGTGAAGATCAAACTACATCTTTTTACTTCCATGGAACGTAAGACTTTAAGGGTCCGTTTGGTATACAGAATTGATGGAATTGGAATTGAATTAGAATTGAAATTCCATGAGATTCAATTCCATAAAATTGAATTCACCAATTCCAATTCATTTTTTACACTGTCAATTCCAAATCCACATAATATTTATGCTACCAAACACCAGAATTGGAATTTAGGTCTTCAATTCCAATTTCATAGTTTGAATTCCGTGTACCAAACGAGACCTAAGTGGCAACCAAATGGCGCATAATAGAAAATGCCTTCTCATAAAATTAAAGAGTATAAAAGGAAGAAAAGAAGGAATACCTGTATGTAAGAAATACATGTCATCCAATGCTTCAAGTTTCTTATTGCAGCCACCTAAAAAGACAAGAAGACCTCCTAAATGTGGATCAAGACACTCTCCGGCCATTGAGAATCTTGCTGAAGGGCCATCACCAGTAGCCATAATCTTGTTCCATACACCAGCATCTAGACGAGAGAACAAATATTTGGAAGAGATGTGACAAAAGACAATCGCCATATACCAACCTTAAGATCCAGATTTATCACGGTATATACAACCAAAGCAGGAAAAAAGCACATTTGTTATGGAAAAAGATAGGGGCGTCTAGCTTTTCTATAATAAATAGTCTTAAAAGGTCTCTCGTTGTATGTTCAATGAGAGATTTCTTGGGAGATTTTAAAAAAGATTAAGATCTTCTTTTATATGCTACTTTGGTAACTTCTGCAAAGAAGTATGTTGGTTTTCTTATTTAGTTCCTCAAAATATATCTAACAAGCTTGTTATGCTGAGCATAGCTATATAAAACAATAAGCTTTTATCAAAGAGCAACAGCTTTTTCATTTATGAGCTTTTCAGTAACTAAAAACTAATATGGAGTACTATGAAAATGTTCAGAAAATGTATTTTCAGCAAGTTGGGCCAACCATACACTATCAGAAGCAAATTATTCTGATATTCTTTCACAGAAGTTATCTCTATATATTTTTTCTGCTCCTTTGTGTCAAATGTGAAAAGAGAAACTACCATGCACCAAATAATATGTTATCCATTATGAATAGCTAACAGTACATTAAATAAGATTCAATTACTTACCAACATCAAGCATATAAACATCATCATACAAGTTCTCCTCATCAGAAAAACCGCCAAAGACAAATAAGTACTTGCCCAAGGCAATAGTTGTATGCCCAGCTCGAGGTGATAATAACTGGCCTGTAGTGTATAATTTGCTCCAAACAAATGAATCTGTTGAAACAAAGGCGCTACCATTATCAAAACAGTAAATAGAGTTAACAGAGAATACATTTTTTTTGCATCGCATGTGAGCAGGTAATATACAACTTTGACAATGGTGGATAGCAAACAATCTGTTGCTAGCCAAAGTAGTCTAATTTACATTTACCGACGAATAAATTATTTGTTGATTCACTGTACATAGCAATGAAACAATGCTCTACTCTCACATCCATTGCTATTGACGGACTTGTTAATTAAACCATAACTGATTTTAGCAACTTGCTGATTCTCATTGTATCATTTCTCAAGCTTTTTGGTGAGTCACTGTCCAACAATTGCTCTAATAACATTTCTAATAATTTAGACATTTGTTCCTTTTGTGCTTGAGTCTGTCTTTCAAAAGCAGTTTCTCTACTTTTTCTAGGTAGGGATCTGGTCTGCATACACCCACCCCCAGAAGGAATTGTGGGATTACCGCGTACGATGATGATATTGTTGTTTCAATAAAAAGGACTGGCAAACTTTTCATTTCATTTTTCATGACGTGGCATGAAGTGATTCATTGGTGTATATGACTCACACACTAATGGTGCATAAATATTTTATGTGAAATTTGCACTAAATAGGACTAAAACATAAGTCATTTCCCAATGTTGGTGGACATTTACTTGAATAATGACTAATGGATAATGATCGATGGTCCTAAATTGGGAAATAAAAACATGTGGTCCTATATTGAGAAAGTTAATATGTTTTAGTCCTATTTAGGTAAATTTCCCATATTTTATCCCCTTAATAGAAACTGCCATAGAGATCAAGTGATAAACTAATGCCTACCTGTGTCAAGAATGTGTACATCAGATAAGTAGAAATTGCACGTGTCTTCCCCGCCAATGACAATGATTTTGTTCCTCCAAGATGAACAGCTATGACTCTCACGCTTAGTTGGTGGTGTGCCAGATGGTACAACACGTTTCCACATGAACGTTTCTGCAATCAATGAGCAATGCATATCACAAATTTCTTTTTCAGTTGAACATGCACAATTCTCTCTCATGAAAAAAATATTTAACACAAAATAAAATCTAAAATGGGGAGCAACACACCTGTATTCAATATGTAAAGGTCATCATAGTATATTTCCCTGTCCTCAGATTTTCCACATCCACCAAAGATAAAGAGTCGTCTACCGATAAGGGCTGCACTATGGCCTTCCCTTGGTTCAGGCCCATCACCTCTTAAACTTGGCGAGATCCATGTGTTAGAAGCTGAAAAGGTACACACTTGGATAGTGTGAGAATATATATGTAAAATAAACTTTTGTAAAGTTTCTTTAGGACTTGTCTTCATTCTATCTTTTTTAGTCTGTTAACTCTGTGTATATTACTATATTCTTATTTTTTGTCTTCCGTGTAGACAAAGTCGCTCAAATAGAGGTATTTGTTCATTTGAAAATTCTTTTACAAATGTATATTATTTATGCCGCTGAGAACCATCTTTATTTATTCTGCTTTTTTGTATAGGCACCACACTTGTCATAATAAACCCTAGAGAAACACTGAAACACAATTCATTCATCATTCAGCCATTCATGAGGTAACTTTGCTTGGGGCCAAAAGAAACTTTTCCTATAGCTTCCAACTTTCATGCCAAGGATATAACAACGGACAAGAGTATGTAAACGGAAAATTAATCTCCTTAATGGAATGAAGCAACTAAATGCTGAAATACTATTGTGCACTGCTTATATTTAAGTTACTTACAAGTGTCCAGAATATGCAAATCACCAAGAGGCCTTGTCCCATCTGTACCCCCAAACACATATAAATTGTCACCAACTGTTGTACAACTATGGCTGTCCCTAGGCATAGGCACTGCTCCCTTTGTTGCGGGCTCACTCCATATCCTATTAACTGCAATACAAAGGATGTAAGGAAATGTCACAAATAAAGGTTTCGAGATAAACAGTTAAAACATATCATAGATTAGACATTGGCCAGAAAATTCTAGCTTAAATACAATGGCTGAGGGACCACAAAATCCTACAGTACCAATTTTGAACATATGTCTGTGATTTAATGTTTTAGCCCACGTTTATCGAAACTTTGTTGGAGCACCTTTTCGAGGAAGGAGGTAATGAGGTGTGCAACTATGCGTACAGCCACCCCTTTCAAACCCCATTTGCGGGATTTTAGAGGTATGTTGTTGGTAGCCATACTGTATTTCATATTTCAAAACATCTATTATGCAAGTCACTCACACGCAATGAGTTGGTATGCTCCAATGCTATCTCTGGATGTCTTCAAATTACATTCCTGTTGCAACGCATTTTTCCTCTCGCTTTTTCTAATTCCTCTATCTTCTAAACCTTTCAACTGTTTAAATTTGGAGGTGGCATTGCGTAACAACTAATTTTTGGCTTATGCGCTGAGATGAGGCAAATTTTACCAAAAGCATAAATTTATCTACATAAACCAACTGATGAAAATTACATTTAAAACTTACTTTTTATTTTCTGAAACGATGAGATGCTTTTGCCCTCATTTTAAATACTCTGTATTCTTTAATAATTCAGACACAATTTAAAAGCATTCAACTCATGTGGCCATTTCAGACGCACACCTGTCCGGCTCATTTAGGGGGGGGAAGTACCACCACAAATGGGCTAAATAGGTAGAAATATCTGAAACATGGCCGACCGCCCTAAAGTGAAATTAGCAGCAATGCCAACCATGAGAACCCTATTTGAAGTACCCCATAGTATTAATCTTTGAGAACAAAGCTTAAGTCATACAAAATTAAATCGATATCACATTACAACCTTCAAAAGCCCATAAAGGATAATATCATGAAAAACCTAACTAAAATTCATGGACAGCATTAACCAGATGAATTACAAAATCCCGAAAATCAACCGAATACAAACAAGAATCGAAACCCTAAAATCAAATTTAGCAATGGAAAAACATTCGAAGACGCGAACAAGACTGTTACAAAATGCGAGAGAAATGGGGCGAGCAAAAATATACCACAGTCGAAGACGTGAACTCGGTTGGTCTGGCAGTCATCTTTCCCATAGCCGCCGAAAACGTAAAGAAGCTTCCCTCCAGCAATGGCGTTACAGGTGTGGCCCCACCTCTTGCCCGGCCTAACGCCCATTCCTTGTGCGCTTACCTTCTCCCACCTCATGTTATTGAAATCAAATCCAATGGTTTTTCCCGAGTGCAGTGAACGGCTACAGTTCCTGAGTCAATGAAGAAACATTTGGGGTCCGATTTCTTGATCGGCACTGGGTTTTAACTTTTAAGTCCAGCTTGAACTTGTAAGCGTTTTCATTTCTGGGATTTTTCATGCAGAGGAGCCCTCCCCATCAGCACCCAGGTAAGTTGGGGGTGGGTTTGGTTTTGTGGTCACCCAAAACCAACGGAAGGTAAGTGGGTATATGATTTTTGGGTTCCATTATATATGATTTTTTATTTTGGTTTTATTGGTTTATAATAGTAGAAAATTCTAAAAACACAAACTCGATGATATGTACTTTAGGTTTGGTTTTTTTTGCTTGATTTTTACACAAAAACAAAAACCAAATGAAATGTTATTGTTTCGTTCAATTCAATTATATATCAAAAACATGTGTTGAGTGCTCAACCAACAGGTAGAATATTCCAAATATTTCTAAAGACATCGTTTGTAAAATCAATTACGAACAATTTGTGTTTCTTGGTATAATACTTTCAATTGAGAAAAATACAATGCAAGCTACTAGGTATTTTAAATTGGAAAAATATCACCAAAATAAAAACAACAAATTGTCGGTGTTCCAAAAGTAAAAGTAACATATTAGACCGAAAAAGATACAGTGACATACATTTATTCAAAAATAAGACTATTGTATAATGATTTGTGACAAAGAATAATACAAAGTGGAACTATATTTTAGCAATCCATAGTTTTTTTTGAATAATACAATGGAACTATTTATATTATAGGTTCTACCTTAGATATAAAAAATGAAGGTCCTATTTTTATTTTTTTCTATGTTTTATTCATATTTTAGTCTTTTGTACTCTTAAAACAGTATGCAAAATCTTGTTACTTCTAAATTTATTTTATTTATAAATTTGTATAATAAAAAATAAAAATTACATATATATAATGTTCATAGCAACAAGCACCTCTTGACTAATTGGGATCAATCTTGGATTCAATTACCCCCTCCATATGCATCTTTGAGGGTGACATATAGAGTTCCAAATTAATGTGTAAGCTGGACACCTCAATTAGACAAAAAAGTTAAGTTTTTGGTTGAATTAGTTTCTTGACATGGTATCAGATCAAGATCTAGGATTGTGAAGGTCAACCGTCAGTTAACTTGTAATGGTCGACTGTGAAAAAAATGAGTCTCAACAGTCGACTGCACTGGTCTAATGATGAGCCGTTTCGATGTGGTGCCTAACTCGTAGACGACATCCATGGCGAATGCAACGATCCAAAACAACCAAATGCTATTCTCATATACTCTGAAGCTACTCTATAACAATATGAAAGTGAGCTCATTCTGAAGTCCAAAAGTTGATTCTTAACTTCTAGAATTAGGCTGACAACACTTTTATTGGAGAGGGTCTTGAAGAAGGTGTGACAAACCATGAAGTTTGAGGCAAACAGAGTTTGTCGTCAAATCACGTGTAAGAAGATTAAGTCAATTCATATATAGAGTATATTGACATTGAAGGTGTAATTTTTACACTCATTTAGTTGAAGGGTTGTTACATAGGCGTAGGTCTTGCAGCTTCATGCAAAACCTTGTAGTTTTTTTGTTGTTTGCTCTGTGTGTTCTACAGTTTTTGTTGGGTGTCAAGTTACCTTTCTTCGAGATTTTACCAAGAACATTAAGATTGATTGTTATTTTTTTCCGGGGTGAAATACGAAAAGGCACTCTTCAAACAACGCACATTTCCATTGCTGATCAACCTGATAACATATTAACAAAGTTTTTGGCAACTGCACAATTAGATCATTTGTTGTCTAAGTTAGGCACATAAGACTTGCATGCTCTAGTTTGAGGAAAAGTATCACGTGTGGAAGTAGAAATATAGAAATTTGGAGAAGGATATAGAGTTTTTTACTATTTAATGAGTGATTTACTTTTACTATTTAATTATCCTTTCTCGGTCCAAAAGGTGGAATCGTCCACCCCAGGCGCCCCCACCCCCTTGCCCGACAAGAATGGTGGAGGATGTAAATCATGGTGACTCAGTCGGCCAAGAACGCTAGACCCGTGCCCACCGCGCACAAGGAGCCTCCTCACCCTTTATAGGATTTTTGGATAGCTCCCACACTGCCGCTTACGGGACTCGATCCCTGGTCATCGGTCCAAGATTTCACGCTCTTGACCAACTGAGTTAGCCATGTGGGCATTTAATTATCCTTTGTAACCTTGCATCTGATAGTGGCTACTCTTTTAGTTTCATATATAGGCTAGCTTTTTTTTTATATTTTGATATACTCCGTAATACTTATGTATCATTGGGTGAAGCACACAACACAAGAAATAAACTTTTAATCTTACTCTTTAAACTTCTGGTTTTGACACGTTTGGAATTTAATATCATTAGATTTCAAATTTTGAAATTGAAATTCAAGAATTCAAATAAATTTTTAGTTATAAATACTTCCTTAATACTTTCAACTAATTTTAATTTTTCCTAAGAGCAGTGGCAATACTACTAACGCCCAGCGGCGTTAGGGAGCATTTGAAGCCTGGGGGGCGTTAAACACCACCCCCTCCTCCGTTATACCCGCGTTAAAATTTCTGCGTCGTATGTTTGACGCAATGTGAAGGCATTTTGATGCCTTCTTTTTCTTTCCCCCACCCTCTTTCTTCTTCTTTTCTTCTCTATAAATTAAATTAAATTTAACATAAATATAAATTTCTCTCTATCTATCATCTTTTTTAAAAAAATTATTATTCAAGTATTTTTTATTTTGTCATGAATATAATTTTTTTATTTAATGAATGTGATTTTTTTATTTAATGAATTTAATTTTTTTATTTAATGAATGTAATTTTTTATAATGAATGTATTTTTTTAACGAACTATTATCGTTTCAATTCTTTTAAATAATTAAATAATTAAAGTTTATTAATTTAATTTTAGAAGATGTGTATTTAAAATGCTAAAAATGAAGGTTTGAAACCCCAGTTTGAAGCCCCGAGGCTTCAAACCCATTTCCACTGAAACTGTGAGGTAAGTTAAAGCTGACGTGGCAGAAAAAGAAGGTTTGAAGCCCCGGGGCTTCATGGGTATTCCAGTGCCCTAAGTCCTTGTTTTTAAAATCATGTTCCTTCCAATTGGGTGTCTAATTTTGGTTGTTTTGTACAATTAATTACAAAACCAGAATATCAAAAGATGGCATCAAAACGGCAAAAGGCATGGACGAGGCAATTGAGCATGAGCATTACTGGTTACTTATTCACACAGTCAGGGACGCAATTCTATCCGAATCTGACTTTTACCGACCCGACCGAAGTGTCTAATATTCGAATCCGAACTGAAAAATCAAATATTCGAAACCGAACTGAAAAAATTTAAACCGAACCCGACTTTTGTTAGGTCGGGTTTGAGTTAGTATATTTGACCGACCCGACCTATACTCGACCCGACCGACATGTACCCGACTTTTAATAAGTTATTAAAACCCTAAATTCGTATATTCCATATGTACATATTTTTTATGTTTTAAAACTTATTGCCTTTTTAGTGTTTCATTTTTAGTGTGGTTTAATCTTGTGTGTCATGGATATATTATTTTCTTTGTAATTCATATATTATTATTTGAAACTTACTATATATTTTTTTGAGGGTCATAATTATTTTTGTCAATATTTTAAATTTATAGTCGTCTTTAAAATTTTAAATTTATAATGAATTTCAATCTTAAAATTTTCATGAATACTTTTATTAGTAATCAAACCCGAATTTGACCGTAACCGACCCGACCGAATCTTGAACTGAATCCAAAACCGAAAAAATAATTATCTAAACCGACCCGCCTAAATCAAACCCGAATCCGACCTAAGTCGAGTCGGGTTTCAATATACTCAAACCCGACCGAACCCGACCCGGTGTCATCCCTAGACATAGTTGGCCAGCAATACACATATGGTCCTCCCCCTCCCCCACGCCATAAATTGCTTTTCCGCATTTGAAATGCCACATTCCCATTCAGGAAGACCCTACACCAAATCTTGGCATGTTATGCCACAGGGCTCCCACCACGCTTAAACCTTAGCCCAGAAAGTTTGCGTTTTTTTCTCGTTAATTTAATTTTTCCCATCGTTCAGAGAAATGGAGCTCTGGGTTTCATGCAGCCATGGATCTCCACCGTCGATTTCAAGATTCTTCATCAAAGACGCCATTTTCATGGTCTTCTTCCTTTCCCTTTTCTGCTTTAGCCCTACAGGTCAGTTACCCAAACTCCCCCTCTCTCCCTTTTAATCACTTTCTTCACCCCATTGGTGTCTCGGTTGGGATTTGTGATCATGTCTCTGGGATAAAATTGGAACTCAGAAAAGGGCTCATCGTTTCTGGTTCAAACAGAAAAAGTCTTGAAAAACTGGGTTGGTTTTTTGGGATTTGAGAAGTTTACCACCGGTTGTTTACTATTTGTAGTTCATTGTGTATAATGGTGGATTTCTTTGACGATTTGTTGGGGTTTATTTTATGGGTTTTGGAGTATCTGAGTGTGGTGAGCTGGAGCTGAAGAGTTTTTTTTATTTTTTATTTTTTGGGTGGACGGTGACGTGTTTACAATAATGACCATCTGGATATTTTCTTTTATTGGAAATATAGTTTTTCTTTGTTGAAGGAATTGTAATATTTGAGCTATTTTCGTTTCTTGGATTCAATAAAAAAATGGGTTCTTGCGTGTTGTTATGAAAGGAACTCTTTAAAGGCTTCTTTCTTTAGCCTCTGTTGTCTTGTAGTGTAAATTAAAATGCAATTCTGGTTCTTGAAGTGACATAGCTGGTAGGAATTGCAACATCTTGTCAACCTTTTCTGTATTATTTATGAATTCTTCATTTTTTATTTAAGAAAAAAAGTCATTTGCCATCCAAAGTCTTTGAACACAGTAATACAGAATTAGTCAAATTTTTTTCTGGGCGCCCAACGCGAATGGAGCTAAAAGAGTCGTTATTGACAATGTTTTCGCTTCCTGTAAATAATGAACTACATCATAATGGAACATCAAACCTCATTTGTTTTTACTTTGTAGAGAATTTAGCTCCCTATTTTGTATGTTGTTTTTGGGGTTTGATGCAGAATGGACACATACAGTTGGAAATTTAAGATATGTAATGTTGTTTGAAGTGAAAGAATATACTGTAAAAACATTGATTTATGAATTGGTATGAAAAGCAAATTGGTGCTGGCCTGGTGCCAATCTCAGCACCTATACTGCCCTTATTTCTTAATCTTGAGAGTGAAATTTTATAAGTTGTTGGCTTTTTATCTCTTGCAGATGCTTATGATCCACTAGATCCAAATGGAAATATTACAATCAAATGGGATATTATAAGCTGGACTGCAGATGGATATCTTGTGAGTACTAGTAGCCCTTGCACTACCCAAAAAAATTGGAAAAAAGAGTTTTGTTTCCCCTATACACATAGATGTAGTTTGGTAAGATGCAGTGAAATATAATCAAATCTTACGGTTTACCAAGCATTCAAAGAAAATGCTTGGTCTACTGCCCGGTGCCAACTCCATAAGTCTAACAAAAAAACCTTTTACTCTTCCGACATTTCGATCTTTTCTTTACAAAGTACTTTTTTATGCAATATTTTCCTTTGCCAATTTCCATCATCTCCGATGGAGCCAAAATTTCACCATTTTTTGGCTTTGGGGTGTGATGGAATAAATCAAAATGGATCTCTAAACTATCTGCGCTTCTTTAATTAATGAAGTAGCAGTTAGTCAAGCAATGCAACTTTCGATGTTGAGCCGGGGGTCTCTTTGGAAACAGCCTCTCTACTTTCAAGTAGGGGCAAGGTCTGCGTACACACACCCTCCCCAGACCCTATTCTTGTGGGATTTAACTGGGTTGTTGTTGTTGTATTTTCCTTTGCCATTGTGTGAAATAAGTAGTGTGTTGATATTCTGATCCATGAATCAACAGGCAATGGTAGTGATAAACAACTACCAGAAGTATCGTCATATCCAAGCACCTGGATGGAAATTGGGATGGGTATGGGCAAAGAAAGAAATAATATGGGACATGGTTGGTGGTCAAGCCACAGAACAAGGGGATTGCTCGAAATTCAAGATGAACATTCCTCATTGCTGTAAGAGGGACCCGACGGTTGTGGATTTGATGCCCGGTACTCCTTACAACAAGCAGGTTGCAAATTGCTGTCGAGGCGGGGTACTCAACTCGTGGGTCCAGGATCCAGAAACTTCTTTGAGTGCATTTCAAATAAGTGTTGGTCAAGCTGGGACAAGCAACAAAACAGTTTTAATGCCCAAAAACTTTACCCTTAAGACCCCCGGTCCCGGGTACACTTGTGGGCCCGCTAAAAGCGCGTTGCCGACCAAGTTTTTGTCTCCAGACAAAAGGAGATCCACTCAAGCTATGAGTAAGTGTGCCATACTTTTTTTAGTTCTATGAGTTGCATTTTTTTACTTGCCAGTCTTTTTTTGCAGTGACATGGAAAGTCACCTGCACATATTCTCAATTTCTGGCCCAAAAGACGCCAACTTGCTGCGTCTCCATGTCGTCCTTCTACAACAATACAATAATCCACTGCCCAACGTGTACCTGTGGATGTCAAAACAACATAAACCAACCTGGGACTTGCATAAGGTAAGCCTCACTTCTAGTATTCTACAACCTTTTTAAAATTACCCAACAACTTTCACCCTCTCAATGCCCCATGATGGATGTGTTTTTTTGCTGGTATTTCATGGTTTTTAATGCTTACAGACCGGGCTCTTCATACGTGCCAACAGCACTTTCTACCTCAAGTTCAGGAAGGACTGATTTATCACCTTTGGTTCAGTGCACTGATCACATGTGTCCAATCCGTATCCACTGGCATATTAAGATCAACTATAAAGCTTACTGGAGGGTGAAGATGACCGTTACAAATTTCAATTACAGAATGAACTATTCGCAGTGGAATCTCGTAGTCCAGCACCCCAACTTTGACAATCTCACCCAGATTTTCAGCTTCAACTACCAGCCAATAACGCCATACGAATCCATAAGTAAACTAAATTCCCTAATATTCAATTTGGGATAAATTTCACCGATGGTAACCTAAACATTGGACATTTATTCAATTAACTACCTAAACTTCATTTTCTTTCAAAAAAAATCTGAACTTTATCAAATCTTTCAAGAAAAGAATCTTGTAGATTTCAAGTCATCTGCCTGTCATTTTGATTAGCTGGAAGATGAGTTGGTTTCCAAGTCATCTCTTAAAAGTGCTTACTTAGAAGCTAACTCATCTTCCACCTAAGCAGAATTACCTAAAAAATCTAAATTTTTTTTGATAGATTTGGTAAAGTTCATGTTTTTTTATCGAAAATGAAGTTCAGCTACTTCATTGAAAAAATGTCTAAAGTTCAGGTACGACTGGCGAAATTTATCCATTTCACATGTTAAAGATCTGAACAAGTTGATTAAATTGGTTTCAGATGACACTGCAATGCTGTGGGGAATCAAGTTTTACAACGACCTATTGATGCAAGCGGGGCCTTTGGGTAATGTGCAATCTGAGATGATCTTCCAAAAGGATAAATCCAAGTTCACGTTCGACAAAGGGTGGGCGTTCCCGAGGAGGGTTTACTTCAATGGAGATAACTGTGTAATGCCGCCACCAGATTCATATCCGTACCTTCCAAATGCCGGTACCCGGACCGTTCTTTATCTTCTTCAAACTCTGGCAGCAATCTTTGCATCTCTGGTTCTACTACTCACATGTGGTTAATAATATTTGGCTGATGGAATTAACAAGTGCAATTCTTTTGTTATCTAAGCTTAAGTTAATGGTGGGCAAACTAATTGATTGATGCTCTACTGCTGCTATTTGAGTTAAGAGTATATGGCTCTGTGGTGCTTTAGAACATCAAATTAGGACGGATCATATTGTCCTACTTATTCTATTGTAAATGATTGAGTTTTTTTGCGCCATTCACTCCCGATCTTTTCAAAAATTGCACGGATTCTACATGAACTTTAAAAATTGTACTAATGCACCCTAAACTTTTAAAAATGTTGCACAAATGGCTCCTTTGCACCTGATCTGGGAGTGTGTTAAGCACACGCTCATTTTGCAGAATAAGTTATCGGATCCGGACTGATTTTGCGGAATGAAGAATGCGTGAAAGATGTGATGAGCGAAAATACTATCAAGCCCTTGTATGTTACTACATTGGATGAGGAGCAGAGTAGATGCCCCAGATTTATTTTTATTTCTTTTATATGATCTTATTCTCACTGGAATATATATATATAAAGAAGCTAATAAAACACAATATAACCACAATGTCATTCAAAATAGCCAAATTTCATCTCATGGCTCAAATATGACTAATTTAAAAATATATAGTTATTGAGTGTTAATTCAAAAATTACTCTATTTTTTTACTGAACAGAAGATGTTGGTGGATCGATTGCCCCTGCCTGATGGAGGCTTATTTTTTTCTAATTCTTGTGAATATTTTTTCTAGAAAATGAGCCAAACAAAAATAAACACTTTTTTAAACTTTCATCCAAGCACCATAAATAGAAAATGATTTCAAGAAAATCATTCATTTTTAATAAGCCAACTTTCAGGTCCCCAAATAGACGCTAATGAGAGATGTGCGATAAAAATAATTCTAAAGTATACAAATGACATTTTTATAGTACGTCCTTCGTCCCACACCGGCTTTTAGAATGATTAGCTTTCTTCTTCATAACCGGCCGCCTCTTGAGTTCTCGAACTGTTAAGGTGGAAGGTTTTTTATCCGTAAGATGTTGAAGGGGACTCAATGATATTATTCATTCAAAATTGTAAAGCTAATTTAGAAGAGGGGATCCTTGTGTCCTCATCAGCATCTTACCAAATTGCATGTCTTTCTTTTTTTCCGATACAAAAATTTAACTAATGACAGTCTAATCCATCTCTGTCTAATTAACCGTTCGAGTTTAACTTTTTTATTTAAAAACAATGTTTGAAAAAAGGTTAATAATATTTTGATTAGAATAACAAAAATGTGAACCACATTTTTTTAATTAATTCGGGATGAAGGAAATACATAAATATGGAGTCTTCCATCCAAATATGAAGTCCTCCCTCTAAAAAAATCTATCAGACTAGAGTAAAAAAGTATGGAAATATCAAAATAGAAGTCCTAAATCTTTTAAAATCAAAATAGAAGTATAATGATACTGTGATGTAAGAGTATGTGTTAGCAGTGTGATAGAAAAGTAATGGCAATGTAATATGACAGTGTAATTAGTCAACCACTAGCGATAAATGATGGTATTTTGGTGGTCACAAGCGACAATGTGGCAGTTGCAGTGTGACAATATGTAAGTGTGTCATGTAACAATGACAATGTGAACTTCTATTTTATTAACAAAAGACTTAGGACTTCTAATTTAGTGTTTTTGAAATTTTTTTACTCTTATCCCAGGAGTTTTCGCTAAAATCTAACACTATGTTTCGTTCAAGGAATTAGGAAGGATAAGAAAAGAATATTTTTCTCTCATTCTTTTCTTTTTTCATCAAAATGGGAGAAATCTAATTTTACCTATTTTTAGTAATTTTGCATTCTCATTTTCTTTTCTTTCAACTTTTCTTTCCTTTTCTTCTTTAACCAAACATGAAAAATTATTTATCTTCATTTTTTTCGTTTCCCTTTCAAATTGTCTGAATCAAACATACTATAAACGTAAAGATAAACAGTTGAAATATTCACCCCGACCATTCCCAATCCCGTAGTACGGAGTATTAGTTATCTAAAATATTGAAAAGTATACTTCCTTCGTGCTTGTATTTGAAAAAAATTGTAAGCATGACTTTACGAAAATAAAAAAAAGTTTGAAGAAATGGAGAAAATTGATTTTTGTGTAGAAAAGCCAGAAAATTGCTCTCGGATACCCTCGGTTTTGTGAAAAAAACTCACAGGTCCCATCTTTTTGAAAAATATACTCCGGGGTACCTTTAATTATCCGAAAAATAACTTCGAGAAGACTTTCCATCCTTTCCTCCGTCAAATTCATTTTCTCCGTTAACTTTTCATCATTTTCTTTCTAAAAATTGCTTTTAGGTACCCCAATTTTATAAAAGTAACTTTCAGGTCCCATCTTTTTTAAAAATATACTCTGAGGTACCCTAAAATATCCAAAAAGTTACTATGGGGGGTTTTCCTTTTATTATTATTATTATTATTATTATTATTATTATTATTATTATTATTATTGTGATTATTATTACTATTACTATCACGATTATTATTATTATTATTATTATTATTATTATTATTATTATTATTATTATTATTATTATTATTATTATTATTCTATTGCATGTAGCGAAAATCCAATACAACTCAATAGGGAACGCGGCAGCGAGTTACAGCTGCGGAAGATAATGATGAAGTGACTAATAATAATAATAATAATACTTTGTAATAATAGTAACACTAGTAATAGTAATAATAATAACGATCACAATAATAATAATAATACTTCCTAATATAAATAATAATAGTAATAGTCACACAATAATAATAATAATAATAATAATAATCTAAGAATAATAATAATAATAGAGGAAAATTCTTCCAAAGCAAGTTTTTGGATATTTTAGGGTACCCGGGGTATATTTTTAGAAATGATGGGACTTGGAAATTATTTTTACAAAATTGGGGGTACCTGACAACAATTTTTGGGAAGAAGAAGATGAAAAGTTAATAGAGAAAATGAATTTGACGAAGGGATGGACGGAAAGTCTCTCCGGAGTTAGTTTTCAGATAATTAAAGGTACCCCGGAGTATAGTTTTAAAAAAGATGGGACCTGTGAGTTCTTATCACAAAATCGAGGGTACCTGACAACAATTTTCTATAGAAAAGTATCAAAATATGAGAAAATTTTAATGCTTATCTCTAGAATATGAGTGAAATATTTTATCACCAAAATAAGGCTGTATTTTGACAATGTGGCGCAATATATTTGCTTTTCATAATAACTCTTGGTATTATATATTCAAACTACTTCGTAATATTTTGGGATAAAATCATAATATTTATATTTTTTGTCTTCTTGTTATGTTATAGTCCTGTTCAATCATTTTTCTTAAAATATGTGATAGATTATGAATGAGCAATGTTACGTTCACAAACAGAAGGATCACAAACTTCACAAACTTACTATTTATGGTTTAAGTTTTCATTTTAAAATTATTTTAGACTATTTAATTTTCTTTATTAAATTTCACAAATGGTAAGTTTGTGAAGTTTCTGAAGTTTGAATTTGTGAACCAAGCATTTCTCATTATGAATTTACTCCATATGAGAGAGAGAATGAATGATATCAACATATGGGAAATGCTTGATTCACAAACACAATGATCACAAACTTCATAAATTTACTATTTATGAACTTCCATGTAAAAAATTAAATGGTCTAAAATTATTTTAAAATATAATTTTAAATCATAAATAGTAAGTTTGTGAAGTTTATGAGTATTCTGTTTGTGAACCTAGCATTGCTCTCAACATATATGTTTCCTAACAAGGAAAAGGAAGAAATATAAATCTAAGTGTATTTGACATTCTAAAAAGAAGTGTATAGTCGTTCCAAGGAGGGAGTATCGGTAATTATTTATTTATTCAAAATTTAGTCTATGATAAATTGATAATAAAATACTTTCTCTATCCAAAAATTAATGACCTGAATTGAATTTCACAAATCTTGAGAAAGGTAGAATTGTATGGTGTATTTAATGCAGTAGAAATATTTGGTTCACAAACATAATGGTCACAAACTTTACAAACTTACTATTTGCGAACCTCAATATAAATTAAGTAGTCTAAAATAATTTTAAAATAAGAATTTAAACCACAAATAGTTAGGCCCCGTTTGGTACACGGAATTCAAAGTATGGAATTGGAATTGAGGACTTCAATTTCAATTCTCATGTTTGGTAGCACAAAAATTATGCGGAATTGGAATTGGTAGTACAAAAAATGAATTGGAATTGGTGAATTCAATTATATAGAATTGAATCCCATAAAATTTTAATTCCAATTCAATTCCAATTCCATTAATTCCGTGTATCAAACAGACTCTTAGTTTGTGAAATTTGTGATCATTTTGTTTCTGAAACTAGTATTGCTCAAAAAATCATATACTCCTAGGATCCACTTGATTTCTTACACTTATCATTTTTGCCTCACTTTGATTCTTTACACTTCTATTTTTAACTAAAATTAGTTGTTGAAATTCCACGTTTACCCTTATACTTTAAATCTCATCTTTACTATATACTTCCCCGTCCCTAAATAAACTTCTTTTTTTGACTTTTTGGGAAATTAAGGGAAGAATATTTTAGTGTTAGCTTTCCAAAAATACCCTTGATGTGATCTGTAAAAGTAAGATGTGATATGTAGATTATTAGTGAAAAGGTATGATGTGATAGGTAGGGTATGAAAAACCAAGGGGTAAAATTGGTTTTTTAAGGAAAAAGAAAAAAATTTTTGGAAACAAAAAAAAATAAAAAAAGAAATTTATTTAGAGAGTAAGTTTATTTTTAGGCCGGAGAAGTTATATAAGCAACACGCATAATCTCAACCTCCCACCACAAGCATATCAATTTTTGGCAAGACACAGAGAAATCTACGGGAGCTAGAGGGTGCAGTGATAGCAAAACATCGGGCAGAGGCGGCGGAGGAGCAACGACCATGGATGCATTTTGGGGTGATAGACACTCAAAGGCTCCAAATCTAAAGGTATATATATTGTTCATTTATACAAGTACAAAATTTGGAGGTAATATATATCAGAGCTCTCAGTTTATGTTATGAATCATTTTTTTTGTGGTTTCCTAAAATTGATTGAGAAAAAGTTAAGGGATAGTTCAGTAATTTTCATGGAGTTGGGCAAATAAGGCTCTAGATTTAGAGATTTTGAGATTGAAGTCACTAAAAATATTGGCTTCTTAAGAAACAATATGAGCTGTATGAGATATACTTGCAATCCTATTACTGAGTATGCTAATGATTTCACCTATTCGGAAGAGATTTTCATGTTGATGGAAACACAATATTGGATCTGTTAATGTTAATTCTAAGCATCAGGGTTTTTTAAGATGTCAAGATGACAGCTCTGAATGTCATCAAATATTGATGAAGAACAACCTGAACATGGACTTTTTTCAAATGGATTTTGCAATTTGGGATAAAGAATATATTCATTAACCCACACTTTTTATATGTTTGATACTACTGTGTTATCCTATATATGAGATCCTCAATTGATGATTGTTTTAAAATTTTTGTTCATTATCTTTTCCATAGAAAAAAATGTATCGTATATCGTCTGTTCCAACACAAATCTTAAGTAAGTCCTTTTTTTGTATGATTAAGTGCTAGGTTTTTTATTAGTTTTTAACGCAAGTAGTACATCTTATTGAGATAAAACTTTTGATATGACTTTTTATCCTCTCATGGATGATGATTATATGTCATTGTTTGAGAGTTGAGTTTCACTTTCTTTCTCCATGGAAATACATCGTATTTGTAATCTTTTCACGGTAGAAGATAATGAGGTGTGACATCTTACGTAGAATTAGCATAAGTTCTCTTCAAGTCTTATAGGTGGACGGATTAGGGTGTTACAACTGGTTAAGGGTTAAGGGGTGGATCTCTATCATTAATAATAATTGCTCATCCTTTAGGTAGAATATGGATTATTTGGAATCAAAATAAAGTGCAGCTGAAGATTGTGAACATTATTGACCAAGCAATTCACTATTAGGGGAAATTTGCTAGGGGAAATAATGATTTCTTCTTGACATTTTTTTAGGCTCACAATAACCATAATAAAATGAAAGAATTGGGGAAAAGACTGAGAAAATATGTTGTGTCTACTGCTTGGTGTGTTTTGGGTGAATTTAACACCATACTTCATTTGAATGACAGGACAGGTTGTAACCCTATAAGTAGGGAGGAATTACAAGACTGCCTTGGCTGTGGACTTAATGATCTCCCTTATGAGGGCCCAGTTTTAATTACATGGACAAATAATCGAGATGGGGAAAGGAATATTTACTCAAAACTTGACAGAGTAATTGGGAATCTGAATTGGTCACAAATAATCGGTTTTTGTGATATGTGGACCCTTGATCCACAATTTTCCAACATAGTGGCTGATATTTGGGGCAAAGCACATGGCTATCTAAGCATAGTCAAGAGTTAAAATGCATTTACATTACCAAATATGATCATGTACGTTACCAAAAAGTATAGTAACGTGCACACGTACAATGTCACATTACAACCACATTATCACAGTGATAAGTCTTATTTCGGGAATAAAAACATACAACTCCTATTTTGATACTTTTTTCTATGTTTTAGTTCTATTTAGGGTGATTTCTATAATAAAAAGGATGTTGAATAAAAACCTATTGATGTAGGACCCCAAAAGTGGCTTTTCAAAATCTTATTATTTAAGTTTGAATGCTTAAATCATTTTCAACTACATATTTTTAAAAATATACTTTGAACATCATCTTTGACCATCTCTACTAACAGAATTCATATCATTCCCTCTTCAATATTGCATTTCTATTGAGAACAATATAATTTTATTGCATATCTTAAACAATTCTCCATTAAAAATGCATGTAGAGCGAACTCTAATGATAGTATTGATTCCCCAAACATAATGCAATTTAAGAGTAGTTATCATGCCTTTATATGACATAAAAGGGTCGGAATTGGATGCTTGTAAGGAGACTTGATCTTTGATCAGATTCCACACATGCTCATTCAAAAGCAATGCAACCACCAAACTACTTTATATATGCACCAGCATTGACATCATAAAAAACATCCATAATAGAAGCTCAGAAAAGACATACAGTCCAATTGATTTCCCATGAAGATCCAGTAAAACCTTTCAAATGTCCTATGCATAATCGGAAAGCAATATGATCAATGACATTACACAACCAACAAAAGACCTATGAATAAGAGTAAAGCAATAGGATCAATGAATCAAATGTTCACCATATGTGATACCTTGGGTGCTCCAGTGCTGCTGGATGGGGACTACATCAATTCTTCCACTTCAATCTATGAAGATGAACCATCAATAACAAGTAGTGTTTTTATAGAAAAGAGTGGTAAAACTAACAATTAATTTTTAATAATAATAGTAATAATAAAAAATTAAAAATAATAATAATAGAATAAGAAAATAATAATTAATATGAAGTAATTATAATAATTAATAACAAATAATAATAATTATAATAGAAGAAGAAGAAAAAACAAAACAAAAAGTAAAAGAAGAAAAAAACGGGGGTGGGGGAGGAATGGAGGTCACACCGGAAGGCGAAGGAGAAAGAAGAAGAAGAAGAAGAGAAGAAGAAGAAGATAAGGGAGAAGGGATATTAACCGAGAGAGTGACGGATTGTCATGGCGTAGTCAGTTTTTAAATATCTTAACGTACTTCGGAGTATATTTTGAAAAACAATGGAGCCTACGAGTTATTATTAAAAAATTGGAAGTACCCGCTGGCAATTTTTGCTGTAAATATCTAACAGATTCTAAGGAGTGTATATATTAGCAAAAGATCTCCGCCTCCAAAGTCCACACACTTCCTACATCTTAGGTTGAACCAGACCCGCCCAGCGATCCGACCCGTACAAGGATGGCGAATCCATCTTCTTCCTCCGTGCCCGCCACCCCGCTGCTGAAAGATGAGCTCGACATTGTGATCCCCACGATCCGAAACCTTGATTTCTTGGAGCAGTGGAGGCCCTTCTTCCAGCCGTACCATCTGATCATCGTTCAAGACGGGGACCCGTCCAAGACCATTCGGGTACCCGACGGGTTCGACTACGAGCTCTACAATCGGAATGATATCAACCGCATTCTGGGTCCCAAAGCCTCCTGCATTTCCTTCAAGGACTCCGCTTGCCGCTGCTTTGGGTACATGGTGTCTAAGAAGAAGTACATCTACACCATTGACGATGACTGCTTTGTGAGTGTCTTGCCGATTTCCTTCTATTTCTTTCTCTGATTTTAGCATTTAGTTTCTGGGCATTGGTAAACATAGAATTTTATTGCGATTTCAAGTTGAAAGGCCAGATTTTGTTAGGGGGTTTTAGGATTTAAATTTACTCCGTACTCTTATCTGCTCTGTTCAAATTCAGATTTTTAAAATCTCCTTAGGTGGTTGGACATTGATATCAATCCGTCTGCGGAATGGATCTTCAGTCAATTGCTTTCCTTAACTTTAGCATTGATGAATATCTAATTGTGTGTCCTTGGTCTCTTGATCTGGTGAATTCATGTTGAAATGCAGAAGTTTTTACCTTGTAGTATGCTGTGATCTTTTAATTTTTTTAATATGGTCAAATGGTGGGCATTCCATTTGATATGAGATATGTTGAAGGTGTCAAAAATGGCATTTCATTATGGCCTTCACATTTCTTCTCGAGCTCAGTCTTTTTTGAAGATTGGTAGCATTTCAAGCACACACACACACTTTAACAAGGCACACACACATTTGATTTGGCATCCTTAATCCTTTTTTTTGTTATTGTTGAATTGTGTGCTTTCATATTTCATATAGTAAGAAAATTTAACTTACCAATTACTACTTCCATTCCTGAAAAGGGGTCTGATTCCTGATACTTACAACAATATTTGAAACATGACTCTTTTTTACTGGAGGGATTATCACATATCAAGATTAAAGGGTTTTGTTGTTTAAAGTTTCTCTTAGAAGTCTGATACTTTGAGCTTGAGCTTTCATCTTGTGTTTATTTCATGTCTTATTGAATACATAGGTTGCCAAAGATCCATCTGGGAAGGACATTAATGCACTAGAGCAGCACATCAAGAACCTTCTGTCCCCTGCAACACCTTTTTTCTTCAACACTTTGTATGATCCGTACAGAGATGGTGCAGATTTTGTCCGTGGGTACCCATTCAGTCTCCGTGAAGGTGTAACCACAGCTGTTTCGCATGGACTCTGGCTCAATATCCCTGACTATGATGCTCCTACCCAGCTTGTCAAACCCCGAGAAAGAAACACTAGGTGTGAAAGTGATTGATGTATGGATTTTCTTGATATATTACCATGTAACGTGATCACACTAATCGCTTCTCTTGTGGCCGTTTTAAGGTATGTTGATGCAGTTTTGACAATACCAAAAGGCACACTCTTTCCCATGTGTGGTATGAATTTAGGGTTCAACCGGGAACTGATTGGCCCTGCTATGTACTTCGGACTCATGGGTGATGGCCAACCCATTGGACGTTATGATGATATGTGGGCTGGATGGTGTATCAAGGTACTTTAACTCTATTTCTACACCTTGTGTTTTTAAGAAAATATGTCATTTGGAAGTGCTTTTTTCATTCTTTTTTGTTTGGCACTTTTGCACCGAAAATTACTTTTATGAAGAAAAATATTCCCCTTGATTGTCTGTTATTTTATGGAATACAACTCTGACTGAAAAGCGGAATTCATTTTCGTCATAGTTTTTGTTTTTCTTCTGTTGCTTGCTCTGTTTAATATAAAAAAAACTTATTTTCCAAAAAAGTATGTTTTCTTGTATAAGTTCCTCAACAGCATATTTTGCTAAAATCCAATTGTCCTAGGGTCCTATCCTTCTACTAAACTCTACTTCATTTGACCCACTTTATTATAACAATAATAAAAAATCAAGTAATGATAATGATAATGATAATAATAACAGTAATAATAGAGGTTGAAATGGTTAATTGTTCCTTTCATTCCATGTAGGTGATCTGCGACCACATGGGATGGGGAGTGAAGACCGGTCTGCCCTACATCTGGCACAGCAAAGCCAGCAACCCCTTTGTTAACCTGAAGAAGGAATACAAAGGCATCTACTGGCAAGAGGAACTGATCCCATTTTTCCAGTCCGTTGTCCTCCCAAAGGACTGCACCACAGTCCAGAAATGCTACCTCGAACTCTCTAAACAAGTGAAGGCTAAGCTTGGCAATGTTGATGACTACTTCATCAAGCTCGCCGATGCCATGGTTACATGGATCGAAGCTTGGGACGAGCTCAACCCAAACACCCCCTCCTCAGAGCCTAAGTTGCCCAACGGAGGAGCTTCCAAGTAGGAAGGTGCCTTAATCTCATCTATGTCTGGCTCGTAACGTTAAGTTTATCGCGTCATTACACGATATATAGGGAGTTTCTTTGTTTGTGTAATGCTAAAATAACACTATGTTTGGCACCACGGATAACAACCGGTCAACCGTCTGTCAATTTGCACACATGATATAATCGTCTGGGAATCGTGTTCATAGACGATTGCATCGTCTGTGTTAACAAATTCATAGACGATTGTCATACTTGGTGTCATTACACGATATATAGGGAGTTTCTTTGTTTATGTCATGCTAAATTAACACTTCGTTTGGCACCACGGATAACATCTGTTAACCATGTCTAAATTTGTATACATGATATAGTCGTCAGTGAATTGTGTTCACAAACGATTGCATTGTCTAGATGTGAAAAACCCATAGATGATTGTCGTTTGTGGTGTCAAACATGGTGTCATTATAGCATGACTCTCTTTGTTTTTTCGTCTTCTTAGAAAACTACACTACATGTTTATGCAGTTGTTTTAATTAATAATATAAGAATGAATGATTATGGTTCTTGGTGGCGGGTCGTTGTATCTTTTCCTCTTTCTGTTTGTGTTTCACTTGTGCTGGTAATTCTTTAGTAGCTTGAGTTTTGGGATTATGCTAAATGTGGAAGCCAACTTGGTGAAAGACAGAAAAGTGGAGAGACTTTGATGATTAAAGACAAAGGGCATTGCTTAAGGGCTTGGTATAGTGGATATATATGACCAACTGAGAATGTAACTTATGTTCACGTCTTATTACCATTTAAATCCTTGCTTGCAAATATAATGTTATGTTCCAGGATATTTATTCAGTTTGATTTCTTTCAGTCAAATTAGATGATTTGTGAAAGTTACATTGAGTATTAATACAATAGGTTTTAATTTTTTATTACGGAAAAATAGATTTATTAATGGTATGTTTGGAAACATAGATTTGGATTTCAAATCTGGATTTGGCTTAAATTACATGTTTGGGAAACTTAAACATTTTGGATTTGAATCAAATTCTTTACATTTAAAATAAAGCTTAATTTGAAATCCATGCACCTTCCCTTGTCATTTGAAATATAGGATTTCAAATTTTGAAATTGAAATACATGAATTGAAATGAAATGCTAGTTGCCAAATACCATCTAAGAATATTTTGAAAATAATACGGTAATTTAGGATGACACAGAGGTTGATATTACTTGTATCTCATACTCATAGACATCCATGCACATGTTATTATTATCTGAATTGTTGTCTGAAATATTGGAAGCGTCAACTTTGATTTTATATTTAGGATTACTGTAGCTTAACTCAGACTATTTTTTTTATCAATATGTAATTCAATTTTATTTAATTGTGATTACAGTACATTCAATTTGATTTAAAAATATCAATTTGATCTTAAACTCTTCTATCTTGTTGGACAATCAAGATTTAATAAAGTTAATTTTTTTTTTGAGGAAAAGTAAATTTTTTACCGTGAATGTGCAAAAATCTCATGTGTACCGATTACCGAACCAACACCTCCCTACCTACCTCCGGATAGAACTTTATCCATTGAGGATTTTTTTTTTTTGAAATTGCATTTTATTAAATAATCAAAGAATACAAACGTCTGAACAAGCGGGAACAGGCTCCACACTTGTATAAACAGTAAGCAACAACCAAAGAACTAAAATGTGAGGAGCTTATCGGATATATGGAACATAAACTTAAGTACAACTACAAAGCCGGCCTACAACATTCCACTAAAAGATCTAGGAATAAAATCATTCCCGGAGCCCCAACCCCCTCAAGGGTAAGGCCTAAGGTCAGATAATCCAGATCAAGAAAAATGTTGTGAGCCAAGAAATGCAATCGACTTAAGTCCAGTCTAAAATCCAGACAAACCCAACTAAAAAGAAGAAGTAAAAATAATAAGTGCAAAAATAATCCAAGTGAGCGAGGGATGAGCCCAGAATATAAGCCCAATGTAATGCCCAAACCATGAGAGTCCAAAAGCAGCCCAATCCAGCTCGTCCCAATCCTATGAAGAAGCCCAAGGCCGTTTAAGTAATGAAGAAGTCCAAAGCCCAGCAAAGACAACCCAAAGACTCAATTCCAGTGTCGCCCAAACCACCGAGCATCGCTTCCACCGAAGCTCAGCAGCCACGGCCCAAAGCAATCCAAGTCAAGTCTCTTGCCCGTAATAGCCCAAGTCCGGCCGAAACCCAAGCAGCCCAACCGAAATGGCCTAATCCAAGAAGTAGTCCAGCCATGTAAAATATCCAAGTCCAAAATGTGTGAAATCCAATGCAATCCAAAGATCCAAAATGATGAGAATGCCCAGAAGAAGGGTGATCCTAGAAATGCAGTCCAAAAGGACAGAAGAACGAAAAGAGAAAGAGGTACCACTATGGGTCAGTGGCCAACCTTTAGCCCATTACCGCTGACAGATAGCGGGTGCTCTAACCTCACGCGCAAGCACTGACGCAAGCGGAAGAAACCTCGCCGGGCCCCACCCAGCCTCCCGACGAGGGCACCGATTTGATGACGGTACCACGCATACACACTTTCCGTGTGCGCCACGGGTGCTCAAATCCTCAATCCGCAAGCACTGACGGACATCCTTTACCGCGGACGCGTACGTGCGCCTTTTGACCGCAGGCGCGGTCGTTAAGGCGCTCAGATGAAGTGCGAGATGGAAAAAGCCTTTACCGGACAGCCACCTCTGCCCGGGCTAGGATGCCAAATACCGCTGGCAACTACGGGCGCTAAAAACCTCAGACGCTAGCGCCTACGTACCCCATGAGCCGCAGGAGTCGACGGGGACGAAAGAAACTCTGCGAAACTACGCCCGTCATCTCGTAGAAGCACCGTTCACCGTCGGTACAACACGTGGTCCCAAACCGCGGGAACCAACGGGCACCCTTTAACCACGGGTACATATGTGCGCCTCTTAACCGCAGACGCGGTCGTTAAGGCACCCAAATAAGTGCAATTAGGGGTTACCCCCATCCTCATCAATGCGAAAGAAGGGCAGATCGTCCATAGGAAGGAGAGATCTTACCCGAATGTCAAGATCCTGCAGATTAGTAAACTCCTGCGTCCCCTCTGTACTATCCACGGCCCACAATGCCAACTCAGTCGTCAGGCCATTCGCCCGCACGTCACAATGAAACCACTGGACCGTCGCGATGGAACAGAGGAAACGCAGTCTAGCATATACATCATGAAGGTACCACGGGGTACCTTCTCTAAAGAAGCAAGCTAACTCTGAATGATGGGACTCCACGTATATACGCAAGAAGGACTGGGATATACACCACTGAATACGTCGAAGAAGCACGTCCATCCCTCCACGCTCCACTGGGTCCCACCTGAATGCAATAGAAGAGAGAGCATAAAGAAACTTACCTGTCGAGTCACGCACGATCGCTCCATATGCCCCACAAAGCGGGGCACGCGCCACATTCACCTTGATGATGCCACCCGGCGGTGGGACCCTCCGAATCGGCACCACCCTCCTGCGTCCAGAGCCTCGTCGAACGTGCTCCATGATCACCGACCATCGGGGAGGTAAGAGACCCCCGCTAGGCCAGCGACGATAGATGCACTCCGACACCGCCGTAGCCACCCGAAAGATAATGCGTGCAAAGTTAGGGCGAGCATCCCCATACTTGCACGCAGCATAGTGCGTCCAAATCTCCCAAAGAATAATCATCGGCAGGCGGTGGAACAGGAATGAGAGCATCCTGCTCCTCGGCCTCTGCGCCCACCATCTACTCAAGACGGACCTCAAACTGTGAAGTGTGCCCCGGATATGGGCAGACTCTGTGAAATAAGTCCAAACACGCCGCGCCATGCTCCCATGATAGAAAATGTGTGTAATGGTCTCCCGTCCTGGCGGCGAACAACATAAGCACCGAGAAGGCAAAGCAATCCATTGAGGATTTGAACCTAAGAAAGTATGGCTTACCGGACTTAGATTTTAGGGCACTGGATGTACGTTGGCCTTCCAACCTTCTCTCTGCCACATTAGCGTACTTTAAATACTTCACAATTTCACTATTAATGAGTTTGAAGTCTTGAGACTTCAAGTTGTGGTTTTAAATCTTTTTTTAAATTTTTTTAATACACATTTTGTAAAGGTAAATTAAAAATAATTTATTAATTAATTAAATTTAAGCGAGAATAATTCATTAAATAAAAAAATTGCATTAATAATTTTTTTAATAATAACAACATAAATAAAAGAATTAAAAATTATATTATATTACAAAAAATTATGATTATTTGAGTGACTAAAAATATGTTAAATCAAATTCACCGTTAGTGCATTGTGGATCTTTTGGCTTCAAATTATTTTGGCAGTTTCTTCATTTCTTTTCTTCGTCGATTTCTTCATACGTAGGCACATGCTCATCCGGGTTGTAATGACAAATTGCAAACCCGTTATCCTCTATTATCATATTATGAAAAATAATACATGCGTATATAATATTTCTCATTTTCGTTTGAGAATAACATCTGGAAGGACGATCTATAATGTGCCACTTATCCTTGAACACCTCGAAGGCTCGTTCGATATCCTTTCTCGCCGCCTCATGAGCTTTGACGAAAGAAATACTATGTAAAACACTGATAAAGTTAAAAAAATTATACTCCGTATAAAATAAAATTAGTTGTTAAAAATATTATATAAAATCTAAAGGATATCGAACGAGCCTTTGAGGTGTTTAAGGATATCGAATGAGCTTTTTTAACTTTTGGACGAAAGAAATACTATGTAAAACACTGATGATTTTATTTAACAAAAAATTATGAGTAAAACATATGCGTGTAACCATAGGACTATTTATCATTAACATGTCATGAGTTGTGTTGTTAGCCTCCTAGAAAAACTCCAACATCTTAGTATTATCATAACACTTTATTTTTGACCATCAGGCCCGTTCCATGACTACTCTATTATAGCTTCATTCCAATTTGATACCATAGACCAAACTTGTCTCCCAGTCCGTTTCCATTTTTTCCTATAATAATGAAGCCGGCGAACACAGCTCAAACCCGTCTCGAGAACCGAATCAGGGACTTGAAGCTCGACCGGCTCACGGCCAACCACCGCCGCCTCACCCTCATTCTCGACCTCCACCGCCTCGTCTCCGCCCGAAGGCGCGGCCCCGTCGTCTCCGTCCACTCCCTCTCCAAGTGGGCGCCACACGCCGGCATCAAAACCCTAACCGCCGGAGCTCTCCTCCGGAAATACCCCCATGTTTTCGAGGTATTTACCCGCCCTGCTTCTCGTAAGCTATGCTACAGGTTTACTCCCAAATTCACTGCCCTAATCGGAGAAGAAAAAGCTATAATCTCTCAATTCAAACACGAATCCGTCGCCCGGATCCGGAAGCTCTTGCTCATGTCTGTTAATGGGACTCTTCATTTGCATTCACTTTGGCTAATCAGAAATGAATTAGGGCTGCCCGAAAATTTTCGTGAATCAATCATCAAGAAGTATGATACCGATTTCAAAATGTTGGGTCTAGAGGTTGTGGAATTGGCTGCTAGGGATTGCGAAACTCCCCCGTTGGCGGCTGAAGTTGAAAAGTGGCGGGAAAAGGAGTATACGGACCGCTGGCTAAGCGAATTCGAGGTGAAATATGCATTTCCTGTGGATTTCCCAACAGGTTTCAAGAAACCAGCAGGGTTCAAGGAGAAGCTGAGGAACTGGCAGAGGCTTTCGTACGTTAAGCCTTACGAGAGAAAAGATGTGGTAAGGGTGAGGAGTTGTGGAGGGGTGGAGAGGTACGAGAAGCGCGCCGTGGGAGTCATTCATGAACTCTTGAGCTTAACCATGGAGAAGATGGTCCCCGTTGAGCGGTTGGCTCATTTTCGCAAGGACCTAGGGTTCGAAGTCAACATCCGCGAGTTGCTCTTGAAGCACCCGGGGATTTTTTACATATCTACAAAGGGGAGTACCCAGTTGGTTTACCTGAGGGAAGCGTATAGCAAAGGGTGTTTGGTGGAACAAAACGCAGTTTATGAGGTAAGAAGAAAGATGTTGGAGTTGATCTTGATGGGGAGACGTAATACTAGAGGACTGGTGAAGAACCTCGAAAAGGAAGTGAAGGAGGAGGATGACGCGAGTGGTAATAATGTTAAGCTCAAAGGGGGCAAAACAAGAAGCGCCGAAGGTGACTTCGTGATTCAAATTCTTGAGAGTGGTGATTGATTCACTCATCAATGCTGATAGCTATTGAAGAACAAAGTGCAAAAATGATTGCAGAAAAATGTCTCTTTTACTTCAAATGTGTTTGTTGTCTACACTATGGATGGGGAGGTTTTACCAAGTTGTTCTTTGGATTGACACCAAGTTCTTCTTCTTTGGAGGTATAGCCTGCCTATCCAGATTCTTCTTTATTTCGATGAAGTGCTAGAAAACAATGTCGTTTAGCAACGCCAAGAGTATGTTCTCGTAGGAGATCGGTTCTTATGTAGGAGGGTTCTCAACTTCTCATTGTGTTGTGTATTACATAGTATACTCCATAACATTTTTGTAAACTGTTATGATGGTATTGATATATGCTTTAGCGACTCGAACAAAAGTTTAGACAAATACTCATTTGGTTTGATTATATTACATCTGGATGCAGCCATTTTGTAAGTGTGTATGGAGCCTTTGCTTGTAAGTGTTTTTTATAGTCCATTTTGTTTTTGTAATTTCGACGAGAATGCAGATTAAAGGAATGTTTGGAAAGTCAACAATATTTTTCACTCCCTTCGACCAAATTTATAGTGTCTGTTTCGATTTACGATGTTTGACTAAAATTATTTTTGAATTATTTTATATGACAGTGTTAAAAAATAAAAATCACATATTAAAATACTACTCCGTTCTACAAAATTAGTAGTGATAATAATACTTTATTTTATCAAATTGCTAACGAGAATGGATAAAAAAATGAATGAAATTTGACTATGTGAATAATGAACATGTACTATAAATTGGGACTAAGGAAGTATTTTTTTAATTCATGCCGAATCAATTGTGAAATTTTTTTAAGGGCGGGAGCAAGAGGGAGTACTTTAAAAGTTTAAGGAACATTATGCCACATATCATAGTTTTGTGCTTAAGATACCTCCCCTCCGACCAAACGCAACACGGATTAGAATCGTAGAAAACGAGGTGACAAGAATATTTTATTTTATGTGATAATTAACGAGAATGCAAATAAACAAAATTTAACTTGATTTTGGAATAAAACAGTCTATTTTGAGATAGAATAATAATTCAAGAAAACAACACAAACCAGAGAAGAGAAAACTAGCATTTAGTCTAGCAGTGTACATTGAAAATTGTTTACCATATCACTCTCAAATTGAATCCAAAGCATGAACACAAAAAAGAAAACAAAACCAGTCTTCCAAGCATAAGACAATGCATTTGAAAATTACTTTTATTTTTTTCATCTCCTTCCAGCAATCTTCAACAAGGGAGAAACAATGCCCTGTATCTCCTGCAACATCACCTGTATCCTAACCTCTTCATCAACATCTCTCTTCAGGTTCCTAATGTGGGCTTTCAATGCATCAGATGCCCCAATCTCTTCACCCTTCATCTCAATAACCTTACCGGCCAACGGCATCAGAAGCCCGGCGTATCTTGGCATCGTCAAGTACCTCTGAAGAAACCTCAGCAGCAGACCCATCTCCTCCCCCTCCAGATTCGACACGCACCTCAGCAGCTTCTTCCTGACCACCAGCTCCTCCATGACCGCCACCACGTACTCCGGGTTCTTCACTTTCAGAGCCGCCAACAATGCCTCCTTGTGCATGAATCTACCCAGCAGCTTGTCATGTTCTGCTAGCTTCACCTTCTTCTTCCTCTTGATCGTGTAGTCCCCTTCCGAAGGTTTCTCATTTTGCCCCCTCGTGAAGTACCTGACGAAGGACGGTCTCAATGACCGATTTCGGGGACCACCCAGGAGAGCCTCTTCCCCGGTGGGCTGGGATTTGGGCTTTCTCTTCCCGAAATAGAGAATGCCGTTCGAAGTTCCGATCACCCTCGTGGTGCAATCCGGCGAGAATGCGACAGATAAGAGTGGGTTTGGGAATCTCATTGAGTATGTGATCTTGAACTTGGAGTAATCAAAAACTTTCAAGTACCCGTCTAGGGAAACACTCAAAATCCGATATTGGTTCGACTCTTCCCCTGTTTCTCTCCCCACTCTACCGACGCAGAGAGATGTCACCGTTTTGTTGTGACTCTCCATTGTGTGCAGCAATCTCCCGCCGCCGATGATGTCCCAGATTTTAACGGAATTTCCACCGGAAGTTGCGATTAACCCGCCGGAGGGCAGGTAAATTGCATCCTCCACTGGATTTCCATGGTTGATTTTCATCACCGAACCCGAGTTCTTGACCCTAACATCCCAAACCTGGACAGTGTGATCATATGAGCCAGAGATAAACATGTCGTTGCTTGCCGGAGAGGAGTCGCCGCATCTGACATAGTCCTTGTGACCCAAGAGATCACCAAGCAGAGCCTCAGTAGTGACATCCCAATATTTCACAATAGCATCATCGCCGCCTGAAAAAATGTGGAGCTTGTCCGCCCGGGGATAGCGGACGACGTGAACAGGGCGGGAGTGGCCGAGGAGGCGCCGCAATGGGACTCGGGATTTGAGGTCGAATACGTGGACGGAGCCAGAAATGTCGCCAGCGGCGAGCAGGCGGCCATCGGAGCGAAAAGTGGCTGATGTGGCAGTGTCTTTGAAGGCAGACGATATGGTCTTGCGTTCGAAGGACTGGGCGGAGTAGATAGACACAGAAGCAGAATGAGTGGCGGCGAAATCGTAGGGCGGTGTAGGGGAGAATGAGACGGAGGTGATGGTGGGGCCTGGGGTTTGGGCCGGTAGCTCCTTTGGGGTTTTGAATGACTTCCAGTACTTAGATTCTGGGGTGGATGTAGACTTCCGGTGGGTTGGTTTGAGTTTAGGCTTCACAGGGAAGGAGGTTTTGTCGGCTGCCACCATGGTAACGGAGGAATGACGGCGGGAGAAGGTGGAGAGCGGGCAGGGGCGACGGAATTATATATATGGGTCCTGTGTAATAGAAGAATTTAGGGCACAATATAAATTTATGAATCAATTTATGAATGAAAAACTAATTGCATATTGAATGAAATCAAGATGGAAAACAAATCACACATTAAACACTAAAATTCATAGAATCAAATTCATCATAATTACATACCTTTAGGATTGAAGGATTTTGGAGATTTGGAAAAGAAGGTGAAGAAGAAAAACAGCCTCTAGAAAGGATCCAAGTGACCGGCGGAAATGGGGCGTGCGGCGGCGGAGGTCTGGCGGCGACAGGATATCCGACTATGGGAGTGGGAGTTGGGATGGTCGGAGGCTAGGGTTTTGCTCTTTCATCCATTCTTCGATCTACGTGGATGACCAGGGGAGGCGAGTAGGCGACTATGTGAAACCATGTCGTTTTGACCGAAAAAGAAAAGAACAGTCCACTTTGTTGCATTAAACTCTTTGATTTGGTAAATATTCACTCTTACCTCTTTGATTGTAATATTTACATTGTTGCCCTTGTATTCTTAGAGCACTGGACTCGTGAAGCCTCGGGGCTTCAAACCGGGGTTTCAAAATTTCTCTCCCTGTCACGTCAGCTTTAACGTATCTTATAGATTCAGTGCAAATAGGTTTGAAGCCCCGGAGTTTCAAACAAGGGCTTCAAACCTTCATTTTTTACATTTTTAAATATACATTTTCTAAATTTAAATTAATAAATTTTAATAATTTTTTATTTAAAATAATCAAAAGGAGACTAGTGCATTAAAAAAATTACATTCATTAAAAAAATATTACATTCATAAAAAAAATACATTTATAAAAAAAGTTACATTCATTAAAAAAAATATTACATCCCTAAAAAAACAACACTACAAAGAAATTACTAATTATTTGAGCGACCGAAGATATGTTCGATCAAATCTGCCGTTAGTGCATTGAGAATCTCTCGACTTCGAATTTCTTGGCGGTTTCTTCGTTTCTTTTCTTCGTCGATTTCTTCGTACATAAGCACCTCCTCGTCCGGGTTGTATTGACAAATCGCAAACTTATTGTCCTCTACGATCATATTATGAACAATAATACATGCGTATATGATATTCCTCATTTTTGTTTGAGAAAAACATTTTGACGGACGTTTTAGAATGTGCCACTTAGCCTTCAAGACCCCGAAGGCTTGTTCAATATCTTTTCTCGCTGCCTCCTAAGCTTTTTTGTAGGTCTGGCGTTTAATACTCATTGGTTCGAAGAGGGACTTGACAATCGTGGAATAATCTGGATATATTCCATCGACCAAATAATATCCACGCTTGTAAAGCGTCCCTCTAAGCTCAAAGGAAAAGTTGGGTGCGGTCTCATTAATCCAATCGTCAAAAACAGGCGATTGATCGAGAACGTTGATGTCGTTGTTCGAGCCCGCGACACCGAAAAAACGTGCCAAAACCACAAGTCATTTGAAGCAACAGCTTCGAGCATGATAGTAGACTTGGGATGATCTCCCCGAGAGAATTGACCATGCCACGCAGTGAGACAATTTTTCCATTCCCAATGCGTGTAATGTAACACCCTAATCCGTCCAGGTCTGCAGCCCCTTCCGGACTAAAGAATTAACTTGGTAATCGTAAAAATTTAAAACTTTTCAAACACACTTTATTAATCCCAATAATTTTTCATAACATATACAGTACGGAGTATTCAACAATATTGCGGAAGCGAATTTAATTTTGACATATCATAAATCATTTCAAACTTGTCACATCCATCACGACAATCTCGCCCCATTTGCTGCCAGGATCACAGTGTTCTTTCTGTTGTACCTGCGTGTAGCAAATAAAACACACTACACGCTCAACGGTAAAGCTGAGTAAGCATATCTAATGCGTCGAACATCCATATAAACTGAATCTAAATTCATAATCAAATCATTTGATATCATGCACACAATGTTCATTTAAGACATTCACAGTTTTGGTATTGTTCAGTTCATATCAACACATTTTATTCAATTCAGATACTATTTCAATAGTGCTCTTAAATTATTCTTAATCTAAGGCCAGATCATAACAACGCTCTTAGCTATTCTTAGTCTAAGGCCAGATCATAATAATGCTCTTAGCTATTCTTAGTCTAAGGCCAAATCATAATTTCCATAATCACATTCTTAAAAGATAATTATTAATCAGACACTTAAACTATCATTAGTTTAAGGCAATTGATTTCGGACACTTAACTGTAGTCAGTTAAGGCCATCAGACACTTACACTATCATTAGTTTAAGGCAAATGATTTCGGACACTTAACTGTAGTCAGTTAAGGCAACAACAATATAGCGATTGGTCAACAATGGATCGGGCATTCCCAACGAGTAATCCTCCAGTTTGGTCTACGAATCCCGTTTATGAATTTATATCTAATTCATCAACTATTCATCTTTTCATAAGTTCATTCTAAGATCTATTCTAGAGGTCTTCTAGATACTCTTAACATTAATTAGCTAATAGGTATATCTTAAAGTTCTTCTAGATATCCTTAACAACATTATTCATCAATTCATACTCTTAGTTCAACAATCATTTCATGTAGAATATTCATCATCATTAATCCATAATATTCATAAAAATGAACAATCAATCAATCATCATAATAACTAATAACAATCAGCGGCCTAGCATCGAGTGTTAACACCCTAGCTTACCGTCATGCATCACATAAGATCCCTTTTAGTTGTTAAAATACCATCTTTATTCCAAGAAATCGTCCTTTTATTATTAATCATAATGGTTTGGTATCAAAATATAGGATTCCATAACTCAAAAATCATATTTTCTAAATAACAATTGATTAATATATGATAGGAAATTCAACTATTAGCTTCATTTTCTTCAATAGTGTAGGGTGACAGTCTACTGTCACTTCTGATAATCTACTGTCTGATGTTCAGAATGGGCTGATAATCGATTATCAAACTTCAGAGAGGGATGACAGTCGATTATCACATTCTGATAATCGACTGTTGCTCAGCTTTGTTACAAAAATCTGCAGAACGATGAATAATCGATTTTCAAGTTGATAATCGATTATCCATCGTCTTCTACCTCGAGCCAACTTGCGGAAATGTCACTTTTACTCACCAAACTTCAATTAAAGTATATAAAAATGTTCTCCAAGGTTCATGGATCATTTTAGCATCATTAATTCATAATTTTAACATCATTTCATGGTTTATGATTCTTACTTCTTCAAACATGTCAAACACAAAACTCAACCAAATGACCATTTATGAACGTAGAAACGACCTATATGAACATTCTAGTCATTAGATATATCTACGGGCTTACTTTGAAGCTTAACGAAGATTCCGGCGAAAGAACGACGAAACTTCCGGCGACAAAAGCTCCTAACTCCGGCGACCTCTCACTAAAATGGCAGCACCACAATACTCCTCACACTCTAAGGAATAATTAGAAGGAAAAGTGAAGAAGAATGGTGAAGAATTGATTGGGTTGAGTTCTTATTATATAGAATGGTGAAGAAGAAGAGGACACTTCTCCAAGTAGATGCTGCGTAGGAAATTTTCTAGTGCGCTGGGAGGCGCCGTCTCCACAGTGTCCCTGATTGAGACCAATTTTGGTTCCAGTAGGGTTACACTTTTTGGTCCAATTTTCTCCGAATTGAAATCCGTTTGCACCGTTGTGACCAGACAGTCAAGCTCTATTCAACGACATAGGTTTTGTATTTATTCGTTATACTTTTTCCGATATCATATTTTTGGGTATTTGACTTTGACAGAGTAAAAATTGATTCAGTTGACCTTTATTCAAAAAGGTTCTCATATTTAATTCATATTAATTATTTTAATGTTCACATCATAATTAATTTCTTCATTTGTTCTTGATTTGGGTCTGTACTTAGGTTCTCAATCAAGACCACACAAATAGTCAATAAATTGGATTTAATAAAAACAAATTTGATTTATTTTAATAATTATCTATTAATAATTCTAAGGTATGTTTTGGGGCGTTAAATGTAATCAATACTCCCAAGCATCCCGACAAAGTCGTGTTTAGCGGCATGCCTTGCCTGTAACTGCTGAATGTCACTCGCTGTAGGCTTGCATAAATATCTTTTATGATAGATTTTAATAATAGCTTTAGAAAATTTATAAAAACAGGACCTGATGCTCCGAGCCGACATCTTCAAGTATTCGTTGAACATATCAAATGTCGTCCTGTACGCCATCTGACGAAGCGCGGCAGTGCACTTCTGGACACTACTAAACCCGCGTCGGCCTCTCGTATCAAAGCGTTGGGTGAACCAAGGCACCTCATGTTCAACATCGGCGAGTATGCGTAAAAACATAGGACGACTCATCCAAAAACGATTACTAAAATCCTCGAGTGTATAAACACACAGAGTATTAAAGTAGTCATTGAGAAGTGAAGCGTGGGCGGCCGCTCGATCCCGGTTTAAACGTTGTCGTCGAGTCCGGGTTCGGCGTTGGGAGGATTCGGCTTCTTCTTTTTTGCCTTGTTCCCACCATTGAACACAACTCGTGGCGAAACAACGAAAAATGAGAGCTCTTTTTTCATCATCGGATGAAGATGATCCCATTTTTAAAATATATTTTATAAATATTTATAATAAATAATCAAATATTTGAAAGATTGATAGAATTATAGAGAGAAGATAGTGAGAGATAGGTTTGTTTTGAGGGGAATTTATAGGTTTATAGATTTTTTTGGGTTAACGGCTAAAATAGCCGTTTTGGCCATTGGGGGAGGGAAGAACGCGTCAAACGTTTGACGTTGATGCCATAATGCCGGTTTGAAGCCCTTGGGAGCGGTGTTTAACGCCCCCGGGCGTTAAAAGAGGGGATGACGCCGCTCGGCGTCACACCCATTTCCAGTGTTCTTATATCTCTACGTCAATGATCCTCTAGACCAAAATACCATTAAAATATTTAATAAATAACTCCACTGCCCCTATGGTTTTGGAAATGGCCACCGATGTTCATCTCTTTTTCCTTTGTTATTTTTTTCTTTTTTCATAAAAAGAAGAAACTGCTTGTGTTTGAAATAGTGAAAAGTAATTTTTTACAACTATTTTTTATAACCGTTACAAAAAATAAAAAATAGTTTATGTTTGAAATAAAAAATTTAGGATATACTTCATTTGTTTTAAAATTAAATATTTTCATTTTTTACTAAAAAATTTCTTTTTTAATCTATTCAGACCCAAAAATATTTTTATAATATTTAGTTAATTTTATATTCATAACACTAGTGATCGAAGTGCAACATATTTCCTTTAGGATTTAATTTTCCTTATTCTATTCAATTATTTTTTTCACATACATTTATTTTTCTTCATTTTATTTTCTATTTGTTTT